AATTGGAACATAACAGAAGCATGAATTGAAAAGTACTTATTACTTAAGTACCTATATCCATGTGGTTGATAAGTCTTTGTTGATAGATACATGTAGAGAAAGGTGGACCTCTAATTTACTCTTGGATAGTTAAGCTAAATTTGTGAAGCTTATTTAAGCATTATATTTCAGAGTTTTTTTATTTTTATTGAAAATAATTTTTTCTTTCAAACTGGAAGGAATTGGGGAAACTTTTTTCGACATAAATAAAATATATTTCTGAGTAAAAATTTCGATTAAAAAAATGAAACGGTTTGAAAGATTCATAGAAAATAGGCTAGATGATTTTTCTGATGTGAAGGAGTGGTTTTCCTGTCTAGCAGTAAATTAAGCATCTCGATGACTCGACGGGGGTGGAATCGGCATCGAGGGGTTCACTTTAGGACCCGCGACGGCGGCATCATACCACATGGCACGAGCCGCTACGCCCCTTAATGAGGGATCGTTCGTGCCTCTGTTGTGAGGATTATTGTTTGAAAAAAAGATAGACAGGGCAGTGTCATCTGTTGCTTCGGTTAGTCGTCCCGCGCGTTGAAGCGTGGCAGGCTCAATGCTTGAACTGAAGTTACTTTGAACACGAACTGCAATTGGTTTATAATAACTAGAAAAGGGGAAGAATTAATTTTTTTCTTTGTTTCATTTTTTATCTACAAATGAGACTCTAATGACTGCGTAATTTATGTGATGCGTCATAGTCGTGCATTGATATTTAGATCAGTTAATTACATATGAACGATGGAAGGTTCAAGTAAGCGCTTCAACAATATATTAGGGAAGTTTTAAAATTATTTTCCTCGATAAAAAATTCAGTAGTTAAATTACTAAGGTTAATTGAAATGATTAATATTCATCGTAAATTTTATCCAATTCTTCATGGTATTAGTGACAAACATCAACGTCATGTGAAGCAGAATATTAATTAGTATTTGATACATTTTTTAGAATTATTTTCCTCTTCCATTTGATGATTAGATATCTGAAAGAAGAATTGGTTTATTTTAATTTAATAGTTAAAATGTTATTTACTTGAAATATTGGAGAAAAAGTGTTTTTAGTATGAGATGATGTAAGAACACAAATCCTTGGATTGTTTTACTCCTGTGTAAATTTCTTCATGACTTCTGATAGATAGAAATTTTCCAGTGCTTACGTAACACCAAAACACGTCTGTAAACATTATTGATAAAATTAAGGTTGTTAAAGACTATGATTAAAAAGAGAAGTAGCATATATTGGCACCGTCATCTGGGTTGGGATGGATCGCGATTCACGAAACATCCTTCGCAACATGTACTTTTCGTTCAAATTTCGTGATATTCTTTTCTGTTTATTATACATAGAACTGAATTACGGTAGATTGTACCGCAAAGCTCCAATGGGGGTTATTCCGTTCACCTGTTCGCCATATTTTCGACAAAGGCGCGTGCCTTCTTCATGCGTATTTTACTATTTTATTTATACGCCACAATATTGAGCTTCTTTTTCTTTAAATTATATATCTTTCATATACTCCAAAATTCAAAGGGTGAAGTTACAATCATTCAATCGAATTTCTAAAAACTATTTCTAGTCCTTTATACCGCAAAAGATTCTTCTCGAAATGCCAGTCCCAATCAATTAGCAATACTTTTTTTTTGTAAAATTAATCAATAATAAATAAAACAATTGTAATTAAAAATTATGATATAATTGAAAAGTCAATTCAGAGAGGAGGATTTAATATTACAGCATCAAGGGAGGCAGCAAGTCTACCGTCAAAAAAGACTTTGATTTATTGAACCGGTCTCCGAGATGTCGGAGACGTCTGTTACATTTTTTTCATTTATTAAATCACATAATGAAGAGATCTTGATAGTAAATTGAGTTTAGTTTTCGAAAGATCTATGGGTTTATCAAATACTTCTGTCAATAAATAATCTTTTTTGATCCTCTCATCATACCGATCAATCCAACAGTAAAAGTAGAATCATCTGAAAAATTGATCAACAATTGGCATTTAGTTACTTTTATATGTGCGATTTGCGATTAAAAAATTCTTCCATCAAATTCAATTATTTTTGATATTATTGGAGATGTCTGGAAATTTATAATTTTCATTCCTTGATAATTATTAATATATATTTATATAAGTAACTATAGATGGAGAGTAAATTTTTCCAGTGAATAAAATCATCCACGTGTCAAGCTGTCAGGTGGTAAATCGGTAATGTAGCACGTGTTAGATCAACACCTTTGACACCATAAGGACAGCGAGTTTTACTCCTTTTTCTTTACCTGCAGCTTAGAGGGTCTAAACCAGTTGAAAAGACAGTGTAAGTGTGCCGGAAGACGAATTCAAAAGGAGTGGCTGAAAAAACAAATTAATAGAAACGTCCATTGACTCTTATAGAAATGAAATCATTCAATAGCAAACTTACCATTATTCTTCAATCCAATTAATAATACTACCAGGTTGGGGGAACTTTTTTTATTTCATCAGCTGCTCTTTCTAAGGTGGAATACCTTGTCTACTAAAATGATAAAATGTGGAAATCCGGGAAAACATATAAAGAGTGACTTTAGAAATGTGTCAATTAGATCTAAGTTGATTAGATCATCATACTTTCTAGCTTATTTTTTATTGTTTTACGACTTTATATTTGTTTTATTAATTATAGGAGACTTTGAAGATGCAAATTTTCATCAAAAATATCTCAAGTTATTTTTCCTTGCTTAATGAAAATTTCATTTATTACTGAAACTCACAATTTAGATTTCAAAAATTAAGTTTTATGATTTTTCCATCATTTCAACTGTTGTTTGTTTTTTTTATTCAAGTGTTTGGTTGTTATTTGTTGTAATATAATGTGCTTCAGGGAGGTCTGAAACAGAATGAAAACATAATAGTAAAATTAATCTTTTAAATCTCTTTAGTAAAATATAATCGGATTTGAAATCGAAACATTACCTTTGTGACACAAATTTCTCTGTAACAAAAATGACAGGTATCGCGATCTTGTTTTCTTCATAGAAAGCACTCAATTTGTTTTCTAGTATTAGGGGCGGACTGACTAGTGGTCAGCGCCAATTACATCTCAAATAGATCTGCTGGTTGATCCCTTTGAAGGATTGCTCTTTTCGGTTTGTCTTTTGACCCAAAAATGACCGCTCAAGTCACAGGGGTCGATGTCCAATCCATTTTTCTCTAGAATCCAGAGTATATCTAGATGTTAGAACTTTCTTTTTCTAATTCTTATGCACACTTTCATCCCTATTTTACACACTTTTGTCTTTGTTATCCCTTCTGAGTGTTTTCCAAAATATTTCAAGCTAAACTATAAGAATTTTTGTCCTTCCATCATCGTATATCAATGACTGGTGAGCACTTTGTGTTGAACTTGGGTGACTTCAATCACAATGGGACGTTGATGAATCTATTGTTGAGTTGATGTAGACATAAAGTGAACAAGCCTTCAAGGTGTCTAGTTAGTCTTAGAGAATTAAATCCATTGGATCTGTAAAATAAAAATTTTATTTTATGGCTTTTCTGTATTTACATATTCACTATCAAAACATTCTGATGTATTATTCACAAAATTGCAATGGCAAAAAGTCAATCCATAAATGTCTGTTGTACACGTTCCTTTCATCATCGTTGTCAGTGTCATAGACCCCATGGATATCTCTGTCTTGCACGTTCCACCAGAACGGAATGTTGTCTGATCACTGTCAACGTTGTTCGACAACTGGTCTTCATTTCTCTGTTTTTGATGTATACTTCAGGTTTTGATTAACAACAGCAACTTCCGATGATTTGAACATTGTGAATAATTTCTGTAAAATTGTGGCTTTCATTGCCGGAACTCGTGGTTCGCCAATGCGGTACACACTATACGGTTCCGTTTTATAGAAAGAGGAAAGAAGGAAGTAGAGAAAAGGAGTAATGAACATAGTATTTTTTGTACTTTGGTGGAACTGGAAAAGTTATGAATGCTTATCTTACATTTAAATTACTATAATTTATATCTTCTATTCAGTAACGATATTTTAACAGTGGAACATAATCTTTTATAAAAAGAACAAAATATCTTTTCTTTATTGGGTAAAAAAAAACTTTATTCAATTGACAATTCACAATTATATACGTAATATAGCTATTAATTGATAACTATTATAAACATGCTTATTATGAAAATAATTATTTACAATTTCTTTGGATGCCTTAATATATACTCATCATACATATATAACAATTAATAGGTAGTATTGTCTACTTCAGTCACGTTTTTATTATATTTTATTTAATTCAAAAACATTCAAAGCATATAATTTTATATATAATATAGCAATTGACTAGAAAACGAACATAAAAAAATTCTCATACATTTTTTCTTCTCCTTTTGATTAAGCTAACAATAAATGTGTTAAAAAAATTAATTCTATAGCTTATTAACGTATAATATAGCATTGATAAAAAACAATTAGTTTCAATTAATAAGCAAATATACTATGCTATAAACAATTATCTAATTAATCTAATTAAGTTTAACTTACTCGATAAATTTAAATTGTAATAATTTTTTTTCTCATTCTTCATTAAAGATAGTGGGCGTAACATTACTTAAAAATACCACGATTCTATTTCCAAAAGAAATTGAATTTTAAACCGAAATTTTTGGTCTCAAGCGCTGTATGAATTTTTTACTTAAGTTACAAATCTAAATAATTAAAAAAAAATTCATTTGATATGAAATGATTCAGACAATCAGGAGACTTTTAGTGCTCCTTCGTACTGTAATTTTCATAAATGAATCTTTGGACTTTTAGCTGTCTTTCATGATTTCTTAAATTACAATTTTTTTTTTGTTTTCTGGAAAAATAAATTTATATAAAATAGAAGTCTTAAAATATTAGCATGCAGAATTATGCTAATTCAATTATTTCTATAAATATATTTGCATTACTAAAATATATATTTTTGATTAATTTTTACTATCATGCTGCTCAAGAAGTTCACATAGAGATGTAATGTAAGCCTGAGCCATTTGAAGGGTTTCGAATTTACTAAGTTTATGATCAGCTCCTAAATTAGGCACGACTTCACGTAGTTTATCAAAGGCATCGTTAAGTCCATTCATCCTTCTTCTTTCTCGGGCATTTGCAGCTAATCGTCTTCGCTTCAGAATACTTGGTGATGGTGGTACGTCACGAGATCTTCGTCTTCCTCTGCGGGGACTGGTTGTTGGTGAGACTTGAGTCTATGAAAATAATAAAAAACAGCTACTACAATTTTCTTCACTACCTCTCTAATTAATTTATTTTTGTTTTGAACACTTTGAAATCTTTTTTTAGCAAAAAATAGCTTTTCAAGTAATAATATCGATAAACCGATATAATTATCACTTTTTATTATTTTAAATTACTCTTCTCTTCTCTGTTACAAACATGATTAATTATGATAATAAGTAGTGATCATGTAAAATTAGTACCTGCATGTTCGCAACTGGTTCCCAGTACCCTTTTGGAGTACTTGCAATATTTTTTTGACACTCATCGCTTTCAATTAAATATCTCGGCTCTTGTGGTGGAGTTTCATAGCAATAAACAGGCACTTGATGGCAGTCTACAGAAGTTTCATCGTATAGAGTTGATCGAGGTGATGCTAAATGATCTACAGGTCCATGAACTATAAACCTGTAAAGAGGTTTTATTATAGCACAATTAGTTATCATTTTATTCTGATTTAAATAAACTTTGATGAGTTTTTTTTTATTGTATCCAACATACCTTTGTGGTGTTAATGGAGTCAAAACTCCATAAGATTCTCGATCATATTCTTCAGGAGTCTTCGCATAGTCTTGACAAGGAATAGTATAATTATCACCACTCTTTAGATTTCTTTGAGGGGTTATTCCAACATCAGCAACGTAATGATGATCTCTGTAGTTATTTGGCAAAGTTTCGTAATTGGGTGAATTATAGGGTGACGGATAAAGAGGATCATATGATCTTCCGGGAGTTGGATAAGCTGAAGTTAACATTTCTGATGACGAAGATTGATACATTCCCTGGTGATTTGACAGTAGAGCCATGGTAAATTTTCTTCAAAATAATTCCTGGTAATTTTTTAGTATTCACTTTTAAGAATTTTCTATTTCTTCACATCAAACTATACCCCCGCGAAGATAGTCCTCCGGGTGGGTTTTAAATTTTGATGAAGACACGTCACATAAATAAAGAGAAATCACTAATTTGGTGCAGGTAAATGGTTATATTATTGAATATGAATGGATATCAAATAACAACGTCAACATCACTACTTGTTATCAATCAATTTAGACTTTGATGTCGCTATAAATTTCGGAAGTAAAGAGACTCAAGAGTTCGTCTTTACAGAGCAAAGGTTCGCGTTTAAGTGTGGCGCGTGCCAGGGCGTTCTCCAGTGCATCAACATATGGTCCCACTTCATTCCCTGTTTATCCCTAGATAAGGTGCACCTGGTGCTCCTGGTCTGGTTTTCTAGAGTAGCGAGGGAGACTCTTGCTCCCCTACTACCTCGGTGCAAGTGCCACTTTCCTCCCTCTTGGACATTGCTTCGTCTCGCATACCTGCACACGTATCTAGAGATAGCGGCAAGAATAAGTAAGAAAAAATTATAAGACAAGAAGGAAGTGTATAGGGCTGAAGGATATAATGAAGGAGGGGTGATATTTTAAAGGGACTGATGAGTCTGAAAAAAAGAGACCGGGTGCCAGCTGATGGCTTTGTAAATATTGAGGATTCGCGCCTTTATCAGATCACTCAGGGGAAGCACAGGTTGAAGCGATATTGTATATGATTTATTTTCAATTGGTTAGTGAATTATTACCGTCTCTTTCTTAGTGGTGAGAATCTTGTTATTGCCATTGTAAAAGGTTGTTTTATACTTACTTAGATTACTGTTGATATCTTGATAATTTTTTTGAAAATAAATTTATTACTTTTAAAATTATGTTTTTTTGAAAATACAGAGATAAAAAAATTAGAATTACAGTAATCATAAAACACAAAACAAATCATGTTGGACTATTAAATTAATTAATTGTTTATTTTTTATTAATTTAATAATTAAAAATGTTTGCAGTTATTTTCAATATTATTACATGTAAAAAAAGTTTTTGATATCGTAAAAAAGTATTATAATCATGTAACGCTTTTTCAGAGTCCTCACGGACCAGTTTCACTTCGAGTATCATGCCTGCCCTAACGTTTCGGTTTCATTCAATAAAAATGGAAAGTGAAAAAAATCATAATCGAACCGAAGAAAGGATACTGCTGACGTTGTATATAATAAATAGTGAAAAATTAATTTTCAATTTCCGATTTCCCGCCCTTGATAGACTCTCCTGTCGGCACTTTGCGTGGCTTTCACTGTCCAGTTTTCTGTCGAACGACAGATGCTTTTACAATAGAGAATACCACAGAGAAATAATGTCGGTGCATCCGCCTTAATGACGCCGGGCACAACGGAACTCTTCATATATTGAATGTCCAGACGGAAGCCTTGAGTGGCACGCGACCTCGAACCCTCTCCGGAAAAAGTAACTATCGAACTTTAAAATCAAAGATCGAACATGAGATGTCAAAATTTTCTTTTCGATATCTCCAAGTCCTAAACAGCAGGTATGACTTTGATCATTTTCCTGATAATTGAAATTTTTGGAGTATCATCGAAAATGAAAACCTCATTTAGAAATTTTAATCATCAGAAAAAGAACAACAAATTTAATGACATAATTTTTATAAAGTTTTCTTATTTTTTAATTTAAAAAAAAAGAATGGATATCAAAGGATATATCAATAAAGCTTATTCATGTCACATAATTAAAAGTATAAAACTGTTGCTAATAATCGAATTTTATATTATGAAAATTCAATATCAATAAGTAGATGAGTATGACATTAAAATCATAATCACTAGTTTACTGCATTGAACATAAGACCGTGAAGTATGACATTGATGTACGTACCACCTTGATGAAACAATTTTTATACATTTCTTAAATATCATTTATATGAAGTGTAAATTTAAAAAATTATTGCATAATATACTTTACCGCGCTGAAATTTTCTAGGTTTAAAATGTATAAGCTGCCTGCAGTTAGCACACAAGGTTGAGTGGTTTTAAGTATGAAAATTTGAAGCAGTTTTCTCGATTTGATAGAAGTTAAATACCAGTGAGATTCGGTTCTGCAAGTAAAATGATGAATCTGATCAAAAAATGTTTTTTTTTTTCTTTTGTTTCAGATGGATGTACTGGATTGGTTATATCAGAATAGATAGAAAATATTTTAAACGATAGCTTACAAGTATTCACTAATTCGAATGCTTTCATCAGCTAGTCGTTGCGATGGCCAGCTTTCAAAGAACAGGTGAAATAATTGAGTAACTGTAAAACTTGCAAACCTCACTGCTTCTTCGGGCCGATCCAATTTTGTAGATGCCTAAATAAATAAATATTATAGATAGGTAGTATTTCATTATTAAAAGTCTGTCAGCCATCTGATAGCAATTTAAATTTATATCTATTCTATTATATATTTAAATTAGATCAAGACTCTTGATTCAGTTTAATAGAGGAGTGATTTTATTATTTCATTAAAAATATAGTTTATTCAATTTTTTTTTTTTTTTTAAACTCATTTTCGTTCAATTTTTATTTAGTATTTATGAAGTCATTGGTGAACATTTTTATTTATGGTTACTATAAATGTAAATGTAATTCTATTCAACAACTCATCAAGATGTAACCATAAATTAACCAATGATATAAATTTTAATAAATTTTTTTTTACAAAAGCTAGAAAAAATTTTACAACTTCTCTTGATTGTATACACACTTTATATTGCTGTTTTTGAATGACAACTCTATAAATAATAGATACTTTAACGCTCGAATTAAATTAAAAGCAAATAACTATAACTTTTCTTTTGGACTTTTATTCTAGCCTGGAGGAAAATGAATCTTGAATCATTATAATGTTTAATTATTTCATGAAAATGATTGAAAAAAAAAAATTTTTTCAATTTAAATTTAAATTAATAAACGGTAGTTGGTAAAACAGTCGTTATTAATAATTATTATTGTTTTCAGGTAAATTGAGTTACAATATTATCGACTGTCTACATTTAGTTGATAATGTAACATCCTATTTTAACAAGCTTTTATGCGCACAATCACAGAACAATTGAATGCTGATGCGCAATACAAATAAGGACGCTAAGAAATTCAAAATCTCGAAATGGTAAGAATTCACTAATTAATAACAATATTTTTATGTGTTGTTTAGGTTTATATCTAATATTAAACAATAACGATTTAATTGAAAATATAAAAATAACTATACACTGCTTACAATCATCTTTTTCATGAATTTTAAAAATATAACCAAACAACGCTAGAGATATCAACTTCAAACAAGGATTTTTTCATTTATTTTCATTCATAGTAAAGATTGATTAATTATTTAATATCAAGATGAATTTACCTGAAAACCTGTAAAGCTTATGCAAACCATGTTGAGACCAAGTTGAAATAGAAATGAAAGGGAGTTGGCAGACTCAATAAGTTGTGCATATCTGTACCCACACAATTTCATCAATTAGTATTTTCTCGATTGATTTTTATTATTGATGATGATATTTACTAACTGAAGAACTTTGGTATGAGTGACAATACATTCAACAATTCGATGGTATGATTTGTCATTTTGGATTGATGGATAGAAATTAATATCCACGTTATCATTATCGACCAGTTGTTTTAATCGATATCTATTTTTGAAATGAAATCAATTTATGAATTTTTGATTAGAAAAATTATTAGAATTTTTCATTCATACTGTTAATTAAAAATAGTCATGTTTTATTTTTAATTGATAGATCAAAAATCTTCAATGAAAATTCGATAATTGATAATTGCATTTAATCATACCCAATAATACAGAAAACAGCACAGGCATGTTGTACATAAACCATGAACATCGAGTCTATAGCAACGGCAACGGTAAGATATCCCAATGCACCAAAATAGGAGTGTATTAATAATGAATAATAGTACTTTTCGGTGTCCACTATGTATTTAACATTGAACATTAATAACTTAGTCTCTGTAAAATTAGCATCAAGTGGTAACAATCCTTCTGGCATTAGCTTCATAAACATAGGTAGTAAAGGCCCTAACATGAATACCGCCATAGATCCATAAAGAGCACCTGAAAAAGTGAAAATATAAAGATTACACTCTTAACTATTACTTTTCATTATCTGTGCAAAAATACCTGCATAAAAAATTGTATTTTTTTTGCTATTCTCTGCCCATTCATTTAAAATTTCTCTTTCTTTTTTATCATTGAAGGTATTCCAGTCATCATAAATTAAATCTAAGAGTTTTTTCATCTAAAATAGTAATTTTTTAATGTTTGTCTAATATGATTAATTGTTGTGTTGATTGTATTCGTCTTTACAAACCTTATCAGCATTGTATATAAAATTTGCCAATTTCACATAACACATCAAATCAATTAAAGTTGGAGGTACAGATTCTAAAAAAACTGGAACGTCAATCCATGCTGTTATCATTCCACCAATCTTGAATAAAAAGTTATCTCAAGTGATATTTAAAATGTTGGATTTGAATAAATAACATAGGAAAATAACGTCCAGTGATTTTTAAAATATTACGAAAAGACAATACAATCAATTATTTAGCATAAATTGTGTGCATAATAATGCTCATTTTTGTTGAAGTGTTTCATATTTACATAGGATATAGGATTAATATTTATATCATTGCTGTTTTAATTGTTTTAGTGGTATCCGGTGCAAGAAAATATATCAAACTACCATACCTGGAGATATCCTAGGGAACCAATAAAAAAAATAGTTAAGATGAGATTAGATACTTTATAAATGGGACTCAGATAGGGCCATTGCCCAATCGAAGTGAGAAAAAATCGATTATATCTGTAATGGTAATCTGGAGTCGTTTCCATCTTCGAATGTCTTCGTTCTGCTCACGTTTGATGTGACAAGACGCTTGCGTGCCATCAACTTTATCGAGTAAGTTATATTCTAATTAATTATTCTTTCAGAAGTCAAGCATATTGTTTGATTATTTTTCTTATCATTATTTCTTCGTTAGTTTTCTTTAGCTTTGTTTGATAGTTCTCTATAGAAAAACTCTTCAGAATTCACGAGAATAAAATAATTCATAATTCTCTTTTAAGAAATTTTCCTTTCATAGTCACGCATGTTGACTTAAACGTTATTATTATTATTATTTACGTAATTGTAGAATTTTATAGAATTACCTTAATAGAACTAGACAAGTACATTACAGTTACTGTCTGGTGAAAACGAACGAAATTTAATTGTTTATATCTCAATGGAAGTTTTATTAACTAAACACGAAAAGTTATTTGTTTATTTATCAATTTAAAAATAATTTGAGTTATTTATAAAATAAAACTAAAATGATCGATCAACAGTTGTAATTTTTCACAAAAATATGTATCAGTTTTTTAGCAAGTATGTGTGATGTTCAAGCTCATCGACATGATGATAGAACAGCAAAAAATGACATGGAATTTCTCAAAACCTTAAAAAACAAAGTTTATTAATAATGGAAAAGTTTTTTTTAACAAAAAGGGCAAAGAAAAGAAGTTTGAGATCAGAGCTTAATACTTACTAAACTGAAAGTTTCCATTGATATAGCTGCAATATTGCCTGCAGTGATTTTACATGAAGTCATACTTCTCAACATTATTGGTATTAACAACTTCTGAAGCTCTCGAGGTATCCGATACCATTCTGATGTATAGCTATATTGAAAAGTTAATGAATTTTTTATCTATTTGCAATGATAATTTAAAAATACTTTTTAAAAAAGTACAATAAATAAACTAACGATGCAACGAATATTGCTTCACTATGCTCTATCAGCTCTTCTCCTTGACAGCAAGTATAATAAAGATGGAAAATTGAGCCTACAGTAAATGTTCCAAACTTGAATGCTTCATTAAATTCATCCAACTTCATTAATGTCTGTATCAGTAAATCCACAGAGTAGTATTTGATATTTATTTATAATGAATGATATGTTGTAATAAATTAAATACTTACCACCATGCCAGTAAGAGTAATTACGAAGAGGTTGATCATTAATATTGCCATGTAAGCTCTTGTGCACCATGATTCCAAAGTATTTGCAAATCTTTAATTAAAAATAATTTTTTTTGTTTGTTCAAACAATTATGCCATTAATGATTAAAAATTAAAATTCATACGTAATAGCACTTCTATGAATAAAAATGCATTGAACAATTCGATTGTAAACATTATTTTTGTCAATTTCAGTTGGTGTTTCTTCACTTCCCAAACTTAGGTGTAGCGTTTCTAAATATGTTCTAAAATTGAAAGAAATAATATATAATCAAAAGTTCAAAAATTAAATGAAGCTTATTTTGTAAAATATAAAGACAATATTTAATAAGATAAAGTTATTATAACAATCCAGTACTGGCCTTAAAATCATAAACATTCCGCAGACATGCTGGATATAAGTTGCGAGTAAATTGTCAAAAAACACGAGAATCCCCACCGTAAATGGAACTGTCATGTATGAATGAATTAAAATATGTACGTAGTATTCATCAGGATCAACAAAATACTCAGTTTGATATAAATATATCAGATTTCTGGTTCCATTTTTTAGTGGCATTATTATATCCAGAATTTTTGGTACTGCCGGTGATGATAGATATATTATCAGGATTGAAAACATGATTGCTAGTCAGTACATGCGAAAATTCTCAGGTTGGAAGCGGTACTTAGAAACATGTATTCAATTAAATTAGAAGTTATATTATTAATTAAAACGTTGTAATTAAAATTACAATTTTAATAGCATCACATATTTTTTTCTTTTTAATTAAAAATTCTCTTTTTTTAGAACAATGTATACTTACTTGTGTATGTTGTTGTAATTGAATACGCACGCCCGATGTAACTTTGCATTATGCTAATGTCTTTTGTTAATGTTAAAAACTTTCCATCTTCTTTCATGTGATCAAATAATTGTTTAATCTAACAAGAAAAAATTTACCAATATATCTTTTATCAGCATTAAATAACATGCACTATTTTTGAAAGTAAAAAATAATCCAATGGTAAAAAATCAAATGAGCCCATGATAAAAAAGTTTATTTAAAACAAAAGTGCAAACATTAAGTATGTAAATTTTTTCTGTAGTATATATGCTGAATTACCTTATCAAAATTGAGTACCCAAACCATGTACTTAAAAAGCGCTCCATAGTGAAGACAGAGCATAGGAATGCATTCAAAAAAAATATCAAGATTATCCGTAGAGTTAACAAATTTAATCGTCTATTATACAAATACTTATTATATTTCCGAGATTAAAATGAAATAATTTTAAAAGATTATAAATATACATACACTGGGCACTGCTATACTTATAATGAGTAGGGTAATAGTCATTCGACAGGCAATTCGCTGTGATTGAGATTGACCAGGCCATTGTCCAAGAACAGACAGTATAATTCTATAGTTTCGATAGTGACGGTGACCAAATATATTCATTATCGTTCACTGCTAGCTTAATACTAGCTAAAGTTTGGGGTGTTGATGAAGACATTACACTATTGATGAGCTGTGATTTTAGCTCTCATTAAAAATTCTCTTAGAAATTTCCGGTGTCGCTTGGACATGTGTAAGGCTACAGGAGTTTGAATAAAATATGAAAATGTACTTTTGACAAAAGAAAATACTCCGAAAAAATGAAGGAGTCAAAAGTCTTTTATATTATGATAAAAGCAACATTAAAGTCACGCAAACTCTTAGATTCGAAACGATATCCATCTCTCTACCAGCTTATTATAACGTTATTTATATTCTTCACGATAATATCGACAATATTCTCCAGTTTTGTGAGGTTTTTTTAAATATCACAAAGTCGAAAAGCTAATAGTATTATTAACTCCATTATTTCTTGAATAAGTTTTGTCCCCAGGGGTTAGTACTATGAATTTTTATAGTATAATACGTCGAAATTATATTCAATATGATAATGAAACTTAACATATTACAGTTTTTGCTTCATTTCTTTTTGACAAATTATTTAAATTACATTTTGAATAGCAATAATTAACACCATTTAATGTCCAGTATAAATATTTCAATTTTATTTAATAGTTTCATCTCAACAATTACTACTTAAATAACATGAGCTATTTGTACAGCAGAATTTTGTTAATACTAATTATGATATGGACAATTATTTTACTGATGATAGTACAGTAAAAAAGGATAAAGAGTCTTTGAGGACCTTCAAAAATTTAATACTATCATGTTATTTACTTTTCACTTCTATACTAATGAATTGGATAATTATTTTTTATGGATACTTACAATACTGAAAGTGTCCATGGACATTACAGCAAATTTGCCAGCAGTGATTTGACAAGGTTTAATACTCCTCATCATTATTGGAATAAGAAGCCGTTGTAGACGTGGAGGGAACTCATACCATTTTGATAAATAACTGAAAAATATTATCACCATGTAAGAAGTTAACTCAAATGATTGGTTTATAGCACAAATATAGTTTATTATTTCATACGTATCTGTAAACACCATTTCACTTTTCTCTATTAGTTTTTGTCCTTGATAACTAATATATAAAAGATGACCAATTCCACCAATACCACATGCAAAATATCTATATGCCTCATCAATGTTATCGATCATTATCACTGCCTATATTAATCGATATTTGATACACTTATATATATATTTTTTTTTTTTTCAAATGATTGATATTAACTTTTTGTAATTCGATTGTTACATACCACTATTCCAGATAATGCAATAATAAACATATTGAGCAATAATATGATTAAAAATGGAGTAGAATAGAAGGATTCCAAAATATCAGAAAATCTTAGGTAACCAACACATTATATAAATTATAAAAATAAATCAAATTGAAGTTTTTTTTTTTTAAAATATCTACATACTCTATTGCGTGTTTATGAATATTGACACAACGAACTATGTTTTGATAAATTTGATTAGTTCGATTACGTTCCGATGATACATTAGTCAAGTCAAGATGTAATGTTCTTAGATATGATCTAAAATATAAGTTGAAATAAAAAAATTTTAGCATCAATAATAATCATGTTATTATTTTGGTCTTTCAATTTGTTTGTGCATTATAAAATTAATACAAAAAAGATTTTTAATATATTCAGTAAAAAAGTATAGAAATAAAAGCGTTTAAAAAAAATTTATCAGGTATAACTAAGTATGCTACATAATTTTTTTCATGTAGATTGCTGATTTAGCTTATTCATTTGCATGGTATAATTCTAAAACAAAAATCAACAAAACTTCTAAAATATGCCTTTCTAATAAACACTTCAGTAATTTTTAAATTCAATCTGTATTTACCCAATAATTGTAAATATTCCGCAGGTGTAATGGATGTATGTCGCAAGTACATTATCATAATAGACGATGATTGCTACAGACACAGGAACAGTCAGGAAAGCATGCAGTAAAATTGGAACATAATATGTATGCTGATCAACAAAGTATTCAGTTTGATATAAAAATATCAAATCTCTCGAAGTATTAAGTGGCTGCACAATATCCAAAAGTTTTGGAAATGCAGGAGTTAAGAGGCATAAAATCAGGATTGTGAATATTGAAGCTGATTAGTGGATATAAAAATTATTAAATTCAAGATGAATCTCAGGTACATATTTTTCAAATTTTTTATGGTTTAATCATACTTGAGTACATTTTTGTAGTAACTCGTCCTTGTTCTAGAAAATTTTGCATTATCTTAATATCTTTTTCTGTACGTATATTGTCTCCATTTTCTTCAATGAGATATAGCAAAGTTTTCATCTACAAGTTGATAATTTTCATATCATACCAATAATTAAAATGCAACATACAAATTATTAATTTGAAAATTAATTCAAATAAAATACCTTCTCAAAATTAATTATCCATCCAAAATATTTAGACAAAGACACGAAATGCAGACATATCATTGGTATGCATTCAATGAATATATCAATATCATCAGTCGATTCAAAAAATTTAATCAACTAATGGAAAAAAATGACTAAAAAATCTATTTAATAGATATATTTAATTCATACCTTTGGTATAAGAATGCTAAAAACATTAAGTATGATAACACATCGAATACATTTTTGTTGAAATAGCGATTGATAAGGCCACTGTCCAAGAAAAGTTAAAATAAATTTATAATTTTGCAAATGACGATCTTCAAGAATCTTCATTATTGTTGAAAAGTTATGATGATATAAACTATAAAGTCATAGAACCGAAACATAAAGAAAAATTGTCAAACAATAACATTATCTTAATTAAAAATTCTCTAAGAAGTATTTTTTAATACAGATAGACATCACGAGTCATAAATTTTTCAGTATCTACTTGGAGGTATATTTTCATTTACCTGAAGTACAAAGAGAATGATTTCATAGGCTTTAAAATGTTGAGAACGGAAGTAGTCACGCAACTTTCTGACTTGAAACAAAATCCATTTCTTTGTCATTTGTGATAAAGTTGTTGAACTTGTGCATACTAATATATAATACTTATTTTTTATGCTATCAGATAGTGAGTGCAAAATTTGTTCTTTTGTATTTAAGAAAATATTCTTATTTTATTTTCAATAATTACTGTTTTGATTATATGAAATTTTATTTTTATGAATTTACTTTATTAAAATAATTGATATTACATTACCAGTTCCGTCTTCAAAAAAATATTTATTGGAGTGAAGAAAACACAGTAAAAAAGGATATTGAATTTTTAAGCACCTCAAAAGAAGGATTTCAGTTATGTAAATATATAAAATATTTTGACAAAAAGTTTTAATTTAAATTATCGAAAAAATTCTTACTGTGCTAAATGAGTCCATAGATAAAACAACCACTTTACCCGCGGTAATTTTGCATGGTAAACAACTTTTCATCATCATTGGTATGAGAAGTTTACGAAGTTTAGGAGGAACAGAGTACCAATTAGATGAATAACTGAAAATCACTTACTGTTTAGTATGATAGAATAGAAATTTTCCTTTATCTCGTATTCAGTAAATTTATTCATTGATGAAATTTTGATACTAACACTGCATTTAAAATCATCTCACTATGTTCGATAAGTATCTGTCCTTGGTAATTAGTGTAAAAAAGATGAAAAGTTGATCCAAAAGTGAATAGTGCAAATCTGATTGCCTCGTTAAACTGGTCAAGTTTCATAACTGTCTGAATAAATAAATATTTAATTATTTCATTCTTTAGATATAGCAAAAATTTTTGATTATATTATACATACGGCCATTCCGTTAATAGTGATTACAAAAAGATTCATTAGACCTACAATCATAAAAGCAATTGTACAGCATGACTCCAAAATGTTGGTAAATCTTAAAAAGAATTTATTATTTTGTTAATGGCAATAGTGATAATGGTGCATAAAGTAGAATTTCAAAGGTATGCACATAAGTACATACTGTATAGAGTTTTTATGAATTTTAATACATTTTATAATATGTTGACTAATCTTTTTTGTGTCCAATTTTTTATCATCTTGATTATACATATCGTAGTTCATTGATTCTAAATAATGTCTGAAAGTATAATGTTATATTAGAAGAACATATCATCATGAGCTGTATAAGACTAATATATTCTATTTACCTTAAAACGGAAAGCATTCCACAAGTGTGATGAATATATGTAGCAAACATATTATCAAAAATGGTGACAACTCCCAATGAAATTGGCATAGTTAAATACGTATGTAATAAAATAGCTGTATAATATTCATCTCGATCAACAAAATACTCTGTTTGGTACAAATATATATTAGGTCTAGAAGTGTTAAGTGGTTTAACAATATCCAAAATTTTGGGCACCAGTGGTGTTGAACAAAATACCACCAGAACAGTATACACGATAACTATCCAATAGATAAGAAAATTCTCAAGTGAAAAGTTGTTATTTATATTCGATTCAAATTTACTCACATTAAATCTAAATCAACTTATTTAATAAAATTATTCCTTATCCGTACCTGTATAAGCTGATGTCACAGTACGTACACGATCTAAAAACTTTTGCATTATTGTTATGTCAGGTTCACCTTTTAATGTTTTCCCGTCATCGTCAATTAAAAAAATTAATTTTTTTATCTAAAGTTTGATGTTTATATTTTAGAAAATCATGTTTAATTGTCCATTAAAATAATGCATGACAGTATAAATTACCTTATCAAAGTTAATCGTCCAAAAAAAATATTTACATAGACTTGCTAAATGAAGACCAATATTAGGTACAGCTTCAATAACAATGTCAATATCATTTATCGATTCCACCAATTTTATCAACTATTACAATGGTGAAAAAAAAACGATGAATAATTTGATGTACGAAAAAATAAAATTATACCTTAGGAATAAATATGCTCAAAATGATTAATGTAATAATACATCGTATGAGTCTCCTTTGAAAAGTAGGCTGAGTAGGCCACTGCCCGAATAGAGTTAATAGAAGCTTATAATTTTGAAAATGTGGTGTTTGTAGTATATTCATTGTTCTTTAGTCGTTTTGTTATGACAACGTTTAAGTCACGAACATGTTTCTTGAGCACAATACTATTATTATGGTTATTGAATCGATGTTTTCACTCGATTAAAAATTCTTTTAGAAGTTTTTAAAGCTAATGAAACAATAATAGGCTTTTTAACATCTAAAGTTTTTGTATGTCAGATTTCAAAAACAATAAGCCGTTGTTTATAGTATTCGTTTGATAGTAGTGTTTAAACGTCACGCTATCTTATAATTTTATACGCAATATTAATCTTCTTCATTCTGATAAATTTAAATTCTATGCTGTATGAAAAAGTTACTTTGAACTTAAACATGAAAATTATAAAACTTATGTAGCGATGTTTTACAATAATAGTCACTATATTTTATTGAGTTTTAGTTATACATGTAACAATTATTTAAATGTTAATAAAATATTTTTATTTTTCAGATTCTTCGTTTGTGGATGTGGACAATGTGTTACGTTGTAAATATCATAACTTACATTTATTGGAGATATTCTGTAGGTATGTTTCAATAATTTATCGCATTGACGATAGAACAGTAAAAAAAGACATTGAATTTTTGAGAACCTTGAAAATTTTGAATGTTATAAAAATAAGTTCTCAAAACATCAGTAAAATGTTGTGCTTACTATGCTGAATGTATCCATGGAAATAGGCACCAGTTTTCCAGCAGTAATTTCACTCGGATTAACACTTCTCATCATTATTGGTATTAGAAGTTTTTGTAGCCAAGGGGGAAATGTATACCATTCCGAAGAATAACTGTAAAAAAGATCATTAATTAAATGATTAGAGTGGTTCGATGCAGATCAGAGATAGGCAGTCTTTAATAATGCAATACTAGTTGGTGCAGTATTCATTCATTTGATCAGTAAAATTACCAAAAGCATGCCCATTTCTAATGTCTATTAACAGTTTATAATTTGTGGTAATTAATATACTAACGCTGCTGTAAAAATTCTTTCACTTTCTTCTATAAGTTCTTGTCCTTGATAACTACAATATAAAAGATGAAAAATTCCACCTATACAGAATGCACAATACTTCAGGCATTCATTAATTTGATCAAGTTTTATCACGGCCTATATTTAGAATCATGAAAAATAATTATTATCATTTTATAGAAAACTACGTAACATAAATAACCATTTATATACCACAATTCCCGTGAGTGTTATCACAAAAAGATTTAGAATCAATAGAAAAATGTATTCGTAACTGTACAATGATTCCATTATATCGGCAAACCTTGAATAATTTAAAAAGTCACATACAGTATATTAATTTTAAAAATTAGTCGTTGATTATAACAAATGAAATTAATTATATAAAATTGTTTGACAATGCTAGTTTAGTCTAGTTTTAACAAAGTTATCTACGTACTCTAAAATACGTCTATGCATTTGGACACACTGGATGATATTTTTATGAATGAGATCTTTATTTTTATCTGTGTATGGTTTGTTATTTGTATCCAAGTGTAATCTTTCTAAATATGATCTGCAAACAAATTAAAAATAATATAAATTTAATATGATTTGATTAACGTAAATAATTTTTTTTTTAAATAAACTAAACTTTTTTTAACCTCAGAATTGAACACATCGCACAGGCGTGATGGATGTGTAATGCAAGTAAATTATCAAAAAAAACAATAATTGCTAGAGATACAGGAACAGTTACGTATGCATGTATTAAAATCGGGACATAGTATTGATGTTGATCAACAAAGTACTCTGTTTGATATAAAAAAATTAATTCTCTCGAAGTATTGAGTGGTTGTACTATATCCAGAATTATTGGTACTGCCGGTGATGCAAGATATAGTATTAAAATTGCGTACATAGCAGCTGATCAGTAGACGCAATGATTGTTTAGATAGGGAATGATATTCGTAGATAATAAATATATTTTCAAAATAGATCTTTTACAGGTAGCACAAATAAATAAATCATACTTGAGTATGCTGAAGTGATTATTTGTCCACGTTCTCTAAAATATACCATTATTTGAATATCTTTTTCTAATCGTAAAGCTTTTCTATCTTCTTCCATAAAATCCATTAATATTCCTATCTGAAAATCTCAAACAATTGTTTATAAAACTTATTGTTAATACTTTTGTAGTCCATCATTTTATTGCATTTATTTTTAAAGTTTTATTGATTTTATTGGCAAAATTTTTAGATAGATCTTAGAAAATTTCTTTCAGGAATGAATTATTTTCAATAATTACTTTTTTAAAATTAACTATCCAAGTGATGTATTTTGATATACTGCCAAGATGAAGACCTAACATTGGTATACATTCAAGAAATATATCTATGTCATTTGTTGATTCAAAAAATTTAATAATCTGTTGAAAAAAAAAAAAACAGCCATTATTAAATTCACTAAAGTTATATAAATGTACCTTAGGTGTAAAAATACTTAGAACGTTCAGTAAAATTAAAAATCGTAAACACTGTCGTTTGGCAAACGATTGTAAAGGCCATGATCCAAAAATACACAATATGAACTTAAAATTTTGATTATATTGAGTTTGTAGCACCTTCATTATGAGACTGTTTACATGACATAAAGGATTTTTTTGAAATAGTATTCAGCAATAGATAAGAGAGTAGGTAGTTTCTGTTCTCATTAAAAATTCTCTTCGATGTATCTATTGTCACTAAATCGTTAGGGTTATTAAAGAATAAATGTTTCATGATTGTCTGTCTAAAGAGTACAAAGGAAAGAATCATTCCAAACGTTTCTATAATTCGAAGAATTAAAGAAAATATCTGTCACGCAAACCTGAACTTGAAAGGTTTCTTCTTTCTTTACTTGGTTCATAATAAAGTTATTCATTTACTTCTTATTTGAGTTCTTTCTAAGTAGTTCATTTTATAAAATATTTCTGATTTATAGTAGACAAGTTTCATTATGGAAATTTTACATGATGAAGAAGAAAGTGGTTGTTTTAAGTGTACAATTATCAATGACAAGTTCATTCATAAGTGAATAGTATTTTATTATGGAACAATAATTTAATAATGATACTAAAGATTTAGTAGCAACTATTAATCATTATCAATACAAAGCTTTTTCACTGTAAAATTTTCAAAATTAATAATCTTATTGTTTCAGGATTCTGTGACTGAAAATGGGTTCTAAAGGTTACCGAGACGTTGATGAAGAGTAAAAATATGGATTATTAATAAATAACTATTTTACAAGTGAGTATAAATTCTAAAAAAATTTTATGAATTTTAAGTACAGCAATTTATTAAAATATATTTTTTTGGAGTTAAAATTTATTTTATAAAAACTACGATTTTATCTACTTATTCAATTTTCTTTTTACTTCATTGGAATTTGTTTCGATAAAATATCGTTCATTTCAATCAATTCCGTACTGATGATAATACAGTAAAAAAAGACATAGCATTTCTGAGGACCTAGTTAATTATTTTTTTGCTTAGAAAATTATTTGAAAAAGATTACAAACGTGAAATTAATACACTCACTACACTGAAGGTTTCCATAGAAATGGGCACCAATTTTCCAGCAGTAATTTCACAGGGAGTAATGCTTCGCATCATTATTGGTATCAGAAGCTTTTGAAGTTGGGGAGGAATTGCGTACCATTCTGAAAAGTAACTGTAATAAAAAACATTTTATATAAAATCCTAATCCATTTCTATACTCCATAATATACTTACAGTGAAGTAAAAACTCTTTCGCTCTCTTCAATGAGCCCTTGCCCTTGGTAGCTACAATATAAAAGATGAAAAATTCCACCTATACAGAATGCACAATACTTCAGGCATTCATTAATTTGATCAAGTTTTATCACGGCCTATTTATAATAATAATAATTCAACAATTTTGTTGATAGAAATAAAAAAAAGAAAAGTTTATCAATTACATACCACAATCCCCGTGAGTGTAATTATAAAAAGATTTACGAGTAATATAAAAATGTATTCAGCAGAGTAAAAAGATTCCATAAGGTTAGAAAATCTTAAATAATCAAGTAATTCGAATGGTGTAAAAATCTTTTTTAAAACTATTTTCAATGAATTAAGCTGTATTATTTTTAACACTTCAATGATATTTCAGTAAAACTGATCAATGATTGAAAATCAATAACAATATAGTTTAGTGCTAAAAATTCTACAGCTTAAATAAAAATATACACGTACTTTATAGCTTGTTTATGAATATCAATACATTGAACAATGTTACCATAAATTTCATCAGCATCTTTATATCGTAATTTGGAATTTTTCATGTTGAGATGTATTTTATTTAAATATGAACTAGAATTGAAATCGATAAGGAAATCATGTCCAAATAAAACTCAATGAAAATGGATTAAAAAATGATTTGCTCACCTCAGAATCGAAAACATTCCTCGTGCATGGGTAACATACATTGCTAGCACATTATCAAAAAAAACAATGATAGATACCGAAAAAGGGACAGTCAAATATGCATGTAATAAAATTGGAATATAATATTGATGTTGATCAACAAAATACTCCGTTTGATATAAAAATATTAAATTTCTTGAAGTATTAAGCGGCTTTATCATGTCTAATATTTTTGGAACTGCCGGTGATGCAAGGTACAAAATCAAAATTGAAAACATGGCAGCTGATCAGTAGATGTATAAATTTTTAAATATGAAATAATATTCTTGAATAAATAATTTATAATTTTTAGTAATATATTTTTTCATTAAATAAATCATACTTGAATACGCTGCCGTAATTACTTTGTCACGATTTATTCTATCTTGCATTATTTTTAAATCTCTCTCCAATCGTAAATGACGTCTATCGTGATTCATAAAATCTAACAAAGTCTTCGTCTGAAAAAGTATTTATATAATTCTTTCTTCATATATTGAATCTATAATCACCTTTTCAAAATTTATTGACCATGTTATAAGTTTTGATAAACTCAGTAAATGAAGCCCTAGCATAGGAATGCATTCGAAGAATACGTCAACATCATTTGTTGATTCACAAAATTTAATCACCTGCCAAAAATAATATATTACAATTACGAATAAATCACTAATAATATTCATTATATACCTTTGGAGTAAAAATACTTAAGACATTTAGAAATATTAGTGATCTTATAATATTTCTCCGGAAAAATGATTGGGTAGGCCATTGTCCAAAGAATGATAATGTTGTTTTATAATTGTAGTCAAATATCTTCTTATAAGTTTGATGATGTTGAGTTTCTAACTTTTCCATAACTAGTGAGTACTGTTTAACTTGCCTAGTAGCTAGTTAGTTTTGACAGTAGTGTTAAACATCGATATACTAAACGTAATAACGAGCTCGTAGGTAACATCGATTTTCATTAAAAATTCTCTTCGATGTATCTCGTGTCGCCAAACTACTAGAGCTACTAAAGTATGTATACCTCATCAGACTCTGTCTTTAGAGCACAAAGGTTCTTTTTAATGGGCTAGAATGGTTTTTAAAATTCGGGGAAACTTTTTACTGTTATGTCACGCAAATGTTAAATTAAAAGGATGTCTACTCCTTTAGTTGATTTGTAATCAAGTTGTTCTACTGCTTTGTGTAGGGAGCCTTATTTTTTTTCAATCATCTGTATTACCTCTAGTTAACTTATTTTAATTAATTCTTGTTCAGTGCTCAGAATACATGTAAGAAATAATGTTACATTAACAATTTATTTTCATTATTTTTGTTCCAAATAAGAATTCTTCATATATTTATAGTCAGTGAAAAAAAAATAATTTAATCTTTTTAGTAATGCTAATTGAACTGTAACACCAATAAACTTTTGTATTTAATCTAGTCTTCTTCTTGAACAGATCGGAGTAGGGTGAAGTATGACATTGAAGTTTTTATTATCTTTAAAATAAATTCCACAATTAGTCTCTGAATTATTTAAATGTGAAATAAAGTTTGAACATACCGCGATGAAAAACTCTAGTGATAAAACAAAGATTTTTCCAACTGTTAGATAATTAGGTACAGAACTTCTTATTATAATCAAATTCAAAAGCTTTCTAGTTCTTGTAGAGAGTGCATACCACTTTATTCCAATTCTAAAACAAAAGTAATAACTTCAATATAATAACAGTAATTGTCACTTACTTGAATGAAAACAAAAACAATTAATGTATTACATAGATTCCCTTATTCCAGTACTGCAGTCAATCATAATTTGTGACAATTGACTTAAAAAAAATACATGGATAGCTTGAGTCACGACAAAAACGATGTAACGTGCTGCTTCAAAAGGTTCACCCAGGTCCAGTACGAGCTTATGAAATTTACATTAAAAAAAAGCATAGTTCGTAATAGTAATAATTCGTAACTGTTGATTATTTTTCATCTAGCTATAACAACTTACTCGTATTCCTGTAAATGTCATTAAGAATGTTTCAGCACTTATCACAACGAAAAGCTCCCATCGATAAAATTCCTCCAACATCTTACAATATCTTCAATAAAAAAAAATTGCTTTTTTAGAAATCTCCAATAAGATGCTTTATGAATTGTACAAAAAAATATTAATTGCTTTACTCAATAATTCTATTGTGAGTTTTGATGCAATCTATAACAATGTAATACGGTTTGTCTTGCGATTTAGGAGGGTTGAGATCTATATTAAGATTTTCTCCACTTGTCAAAGTTTCTAAACGATAACTGGGAAATAAAAATAAAATTATAATTATACATCACCGTAATGATTATTTCGTTTGCTATAAATCGTATGCATATTTACTTTATAGTTTCATAAACTGCACAAACATGTTGAAGCAACATTATCGCTATTGTGTCATTCCCTGTGAGCATGCTCATTACTACAAAAGCACAAAAACAGAGATGTGCTAGAATCCAATAGTAGTTTTCTTGATCATCACACCAGTAATCAACAGGATATGGAAATTCAAGTCTAGTAGGACCATCTATGAATCCAAGAACATCGAATATTTTCGGTGCCATAGGAAATGAGACATAAATAAGTACTGAAATAGCAAAAATCATTAAGAAAACTTGGGCTATTTTTCTCTGTTTATAGGCATGTCGTCTCATAATATCTTTGCAAGGGCCCTCTGGTAATACTTTCCATTCGTATTGCAATGAATTTAATATTGCCATAAGCTATAACAAAACAACTTATAATATTAATTAATTATAATAGTTATGATAAATACATACTTTATCCCATTGCAGATGAACGTTGGTGTACTTAGTAACGGATACAAAAATAACAATATAGAGTGGAAGTGATGAAAAAAGAGAATGAGCCGAATGGTCTACATAAGTAGCATGCATCTATATTATTAAAAAGTGAATAATTATTACTGCAGATAATCAATGAATAGTTTAAATTTGAGATAATTACCACAGGAATAAGACCACTGACGTGAACAAATACATAAATAAATTTCCATATACGTTTTACTTTTTTAGACTGATAAAACCATACTCCTACGTGACCTAAGATTTTAACTTGTACATCGTAGGCAGGATCAGAAAAAAATTTTGCTCCTTCCGATTTTTCCATGGTTAAATATCTTAATAACTTCTCAAACTCCAAGAAGTGTAAAAGCAGACTGCTTGAATACACTCGAAAGTCATTTTTCATTATCATATGTATAGTATATAGGGTATAAAAAAATGACCCATGAGCACATATGATATTATTCGCATGTCTGTCGATGCAAACTTTTGAAAAGTTAATGGATGTTTGACAGGTCTGAAAGCTCTGCTCTGTTGTTATTCAATTTTGTGTGATTATATTTCGAAAAATAGTAAATTACAGAAAATTTACAGGTGATATCTTTTCAATATTATATCTTTTAGGGTCATAAGAAAAAGGAACGTCAATAATAAAACTAATGGCAGTGTATTTTATTAGTATCGTACGGTGTCAATCATATTTTTATGGAAAATAATTTAATTTAATTTGTTTCTGCTATTATTTTCTTCATAGAAAATTTTTGATTTGACAGGGGAGTTTTTTGATAATCAATAGATTATGTTTATTAAATTGAAAATTTTATTTATTGAAATTATGTCTGTTATTATTAAGAAAAAACGGAATTTAGAAAAGTTATCAATATTGAGAATTAATCCAACTAAAGTGAAAAACTGAAAAAAATTAGAACTGCCTTTCTAATATTTCATCGAAATTAATTGATTCAGTTTTATTTATCACTTTTTAAACATAAATGTATGTATACAGTCTTACTTGATTATACATCAAAAATACGAATACAAAATGTAGATTACCATTTATCTGCTCAAGCTTTATGATTAAAAAAAAGTAATAAAAATTATTTTATAATTAATATAAAATGGAAATATTAGATAGTTAGTCTTTGTTCGAAATCAAGTACCAAAAATTATTGGCAATAATGCTTATGTATATCTTTGATTAAAGCTTACTTACACAATATCATTATTTATTACAATAAAATATGGTTATTTAGCACGATAACCATGCTAAAATAGCTCTTGGCATTTTTTTTTACATCAAAAATTAAACATGCATTGTCATAAATACGGTGAGATATGAGAATGAAGTTTTTACAACCTTAAAACAAAGAATAAAATTTTTATATTCGTTATTTTCAATACAAAGTTTTTTTACTTACCAAACTAAAGCTTTTCAATGACATAGTGTACATTTTGCCTGCAGTAAGCTTACAAGGAGTTGCACTTCTTAGTAATAAAGGAATGAAAAGTCGTTGAGAACTTAATGACGTGTTGTTCCAATTAGCTTGATAACTAAATTAATAAAATTATTTATATAAGATATTCTATTAATTCTGGTGGATTTTTTTTTCAGAGGAATGTACTAACGCAGTGTAAAATATAGATGCACTGTGTTCCAGCAATAATTCTCCTTGCCAACTACTATAAAAGAGGTGGAATACCTCTCCTAAAGTAAAAGCTGCAAATTTCATCGCCACATTAGGTTCATTCATCTTAAAAACAGCCTAGAAGCAATTTTTTGAATTATCAAAGTAATATATCATTTTGGAAAAGACTATGACCTTAAGAGTGAATCTTACCACTAAACCTGAAGCAGTCATCATGAGCATATTGATGCCAATAACGAAAATGAAAGAAAAATAATTGCTTTCTTCAATAAGATTCGCAAATCTGAGGTTGGTATAAAATAAAAAGAATTATTTCTTTTATATAAAATTGTTAATAGTTATTTTTAATTTTCTGTATTAAATCTTTACTTATTTTTTAATTAATAATTATTAATTAAGCTTAAGCTTGTAATTCTTCAATACATACTCGATAGCTTCATTATGATATGTAAGGCAGTTGATCATTTTCTGATAATCAATATTATGACTTTTCGTGCATTGCGAATTAATATTGTCATCTTCAGCCACACGGTTTAATGATAAACTATTGCAAAATAAAAATATTATTATTTTACTCAATTTTATTCAACATAAAAAATATTTCATATTGTATTACCCAACGATTAGAAACTTGGCACAGGCATGTTGAATGTAAACCATAAACATTGTATCAATAGCAATAAGAATAGTTAAATATGCAAAGGTACCCAAGTAGCCATGAATTAACAAAGGATAAAAATATTTCTCAAAATCAAATAAGAATTCGATTTGTTGAAACATCAAATGCTTTGGATAGCTTTCGTTCATAGGAGCTACGATGTTTAGAATAAGAGGAGCTAATGGTACCAACATCATCGGCACCACAGTTCCATAAAGCGCACCTAAATTGAGAAATATTTAAAAAGAAGTTTCTTGAGACTTCAATTAATATTGATAATTCGTTGCTTAATTATATTGATGACTAACCAGCATAATATATCGTAACTTTATAGCCAAAATGAGCATATTCGTTCAAAATTTCATTCTCTTTGTCTGTTGAAAAAGTTTTCCAATCTTTTTCCATCAGCATTAAAAGTTTTTTCATCTGTAAAGTTGAAACATTAAAGATCGCTCGACTATATGAAATATTTTTTTTTTTTTTTAATAATAATGACAATACCTTGACTGCATTACAGAAAAAATTAATCATTTTTACTCCACAAACTACATCTGCTAAAACAGTTGGAAGAGCTTCCAGAAAAACATCGATGTCGATCCTAGCAGCTATCATCCCAGCAGTCTATCACGAATTATAGGAAGTACAGACGTTTAGAAAACTCGAAATTAAAGAAACATTTAACTAATACTATTTAAAATGGATGTATTATATAATACAATGCTTGATCAGAATTAAATCATTGTGGGACAATGATTAAAGTTTCTTTAGATGAATTTAAAATAAAATTGAGACTTTTAATGTAACTAAACAATAAAGATCACCTGCAAATAGCCGTGAGTAGTAGTGAAGAAAAGCATGATGATGTAGCTAATGCGCTTGGACAGAGATGATTGATATGGCCATTGTCCAATGATAGTCAAAAAAAGCTTATTTATTTTATGATATGGTGTTGTTTCACAAGTCATTTTTCGTGACAAATACCAATGTTTTACTGCAATGAATGTAATGCTTTCAAGAACCTTTGTGCTAGTAATCGATTGTAGTTACGTATTCTCTTGGTGACAAAACTGTCGAGTTTTTGAACAATACGTGTATTGCAAAATTGCATGAATTTGAATTTATGATCACAAAGAGCTCTGAATACTTTTGTTACTAAAAACTTCAGAGAGCTGACAGAATTTCTATCTAAAGCATTTGAAAAGAAAAAACAGATCTGAAAACAATTTTAGTTTCTGTCAAGTTTCATTGTTATATTTCGTGGTTTACTCAATTTTACAATCGCCTTGAATACTAAATATGTCGCCTAGTTGAATCTGATATTTAAACATTTAATTTACTTTTAAAATGTTTATTAGATAATTCGGTAATTTTTTTGATTTATTTTACAGAATTCAAGAGACACTAAATAACAAAAAAGAGCCGAGTACGCAGTTTATTTAATTAGGAGTAAAGTGTTTGATAATTCACAAAAATATAACTGTGAAAATGTTCGGTACGTTGGAATAATGGAGAATTTAATTGAAGAAAAAAAGCAGTGGGAATATAATAAAGAATTTTCGGCTGTAGCGAGAAGTATAGGTGAGTAAGCAAATTAATTTTTTTATTCATAGAAAAATGTATATTTTGATCTCATTTATTTCACATTATTAGTGATAATTCTCAACTCAATTGGTTCTTTTTGAGCTGTCAATTTTTTATTCAAAAATTAAGATGGTTATTCAATTTTACAATTAATTATTCAATAATATTATTAAATGCTTGTTTGCTTAACAATATAAGAGATATTGATAAAAAAGCTTATATTGTTATTTTATATCCTAGATTGCTACTGGTAGATCGTGACATAACAGAATTGATAGACGGGTAAATTACTGCTTTTAAATAGTTGTCTATATTTAACTATGCAGTCTATGCATTCTATTGAATAGTGCAATATTCACTATTTACTATTCCAGGCACAAGTTTAAATGCACTGTACGTTATGACAGGTATAGAGCAATATTGTGCAGGGAAAATTTGAATTGAAAAAAAATTCATGGTATGTCAAATATGGCACTAGAGTATATGCTACATGTCAGAATGATACGAACAGAATTTTTAAATACATACGGCATGTATAAAATTAACTAGCAGGATATCTTATTTGTTTGCGGCTTCTTGTTTGATTACCTAGGTTGCTGGTACACTGACAAATGGTATATTTAGAACAATTACTACCTCAAAACACCAAATATAAATAGACTCTAGATCTTCTGCAAATCTGTAACTTTTATTATTGTTATTAGTCACCAAATTTTTACTTTTCATAAATTAATACAAAAGCACTCACCTTATAGCACGTTTATATTTTGTAATTGATTTCAAATAGTGAGAATATTGAAGTATTTTGAACGTTGATAAAGGATTCAATTCTTCTGCGTTATTTTCGTCTCCTGATACAGAAATATTTCTCATCTTATTGCTAAAAAAACCCATAATAAAATTAATTTTGAAGCAATGTATTGGGACTGAAAATTTCAGTGGAAGAGTTTTATTCGTATTTCGATAATGATATAGTAATCGTGGAAATAGTGGTTCTATTGTAATTATAGTTGTCATGATTATGTGGATCATCCAAAAAAAGATGTAAAAATTTTTTTTAGTCTCATCTTCCTTCAAATCTTTTTTTAATTGATCGAAGAGGATTCTCATCTATATTCAATACATATTTTTTCATCAAACTTATATCTATTATAAGACAAGATGCTCAGTAAATTATTTAAATACTTACTCTTTTTTTACAATTACAAGTATAAAAGATATATTTGGCAATTGAAATAACATTCATCAAAAATGATCCAAGTAATTTATTTCTAACTTTTCGATTGTGAAAATGCACGATCGCACAAGAAATCTAAGAATAAATTTATAAAATTTAGTATAATGATGATAATATTTTTTTAATAAATCAAATCTAAATGCTAAATCATTGTAGGTGAACTGAAAATGATAATATTTATAACTTTTTAAATTCATTTTTTCAAAATTAGTGCAGCAATGATTATACTTAATAAATTTGCTATTTTATTAAATTTCTATATATATGAAATATATATCATTACAAATTTGACGGTACAATATTCTTTAGATGTCAAGAATGATTATAAAAATAAATTTTTTTACTTAGAAAAATAAAATAATTGTCATCATTCACTGCATCGATGCTAAAACTGTGAAATAAGACGCAGCTGTCTTCACAAACTTTATAAGTAAGAATAATCATGGAAAAAAATAAAAATTTGTTTAGATAATTCAATTAATGTTCAACTATTTTCTCAGAATTTCTTATGCTAATTTTCTTACCGTTGTAAAAGTTTCTAGTGACAATACCAAAATCTTGCCAGCAGTCAGTTTACATGCAAGTTGACTTCTCAAAGTTACCAATACTATGAGTTTTTGAACTTTTTTGGGAGTATCATACCACAATCCAGTTGCTCTATGTATTAATTTGATTAATTATTCAACAGACGATCACTATAATATTAAATTTATATTGCTTACAAATATTCTTGAATATTTGTGCTGAAGTCTATGAGTTTTTGAGATAAAGCACAGTCAAAAAAAAGATGTATTATTTGAGCACCACCAAATACAAGATATTTTACAAGTTTTTGGACAGTAGTTGTCTCAAGAGTAATCTGTGATAATGAATAATATATCAAATCATTTTTGTTACTATCTAACAACATTTTCAAAAGACATCAAAATGGTTTACCTGCATAGCTGTTATACTTAGAAGGGGTACATTTAAACATACTACCGCGGCAAAGCACCATACATATATTTTCTCCAAATCTTCTGCATACCTATAGTTACAATTAAATAAATTTTTACTACCCTTAATAATAAAAATTAAAAATAAATTTTACTTTATAGCTTCTTTATGTTTTTTAATGCAATGAACAAAATGCTTATATTGAATATTCTCCAATGTAAGCGGAACGTCTATGTCGAATGGTAAAGTTCCGTTTTTAATGTCTTCTTGAGTTGGAATATGGCTCATCAAATACCTAAGTAATTAAAAATAATTCAACTAAAGACTAAATCATGTAATATAGAGATAAAAATTACCCTGTAGCTGCAAATAATCCAGAAACATGCACTAATAGAATGATGAATATAGAATCAGAAGCAATGGTAATATTCATTAATATAAAAATAAAAAATCCAGTTGAAAGAAGAATTTCAAAATAGTATTTCTGCGCATTGATTCCAAAAAAATACAATGGAATCGAAAATTCTAAAGGAGCTGTGTTATTAAAATTAAAAATGAAGCTTAAGACTAGCGGTGTTAGTGGTTCAAAAACGTAACAAAAAGTTCCTATGTATACTACTCCTAAAAAAGAAGCAATTAAAAATATTATTTTTATTAATAAAGGAGTAGAAGAAACAATGATTAATCTCCAAACCTGCCCATCCAGCAGCAAGTACATTTCCAATCTCCGAGTAGTACTGAAGAATATCATATTCTCCTTTAGTTTTACAGTTTTGTAAATTAAATTTTGCTTGATCAATCAGTTTTCTAATCTATCAAAAAAAGTGAACTTTATTTAATGATGATTTATTTTAAATACCCATTAATAATTAACACTCACTTGTTCATGGTTACAAACATTAGTAAGAAATTTTGCAGTTGTATAAAAGTTAATAAGATAAGGAGCAAAGCATTCTAAAACGACTTGTTTATTATCACGATAGGCCCAAATAGCAAGGAACTATAAAAAATTATTACAAAAAAAAGTAGAAGCCTCAAAATGCTCTTTTAATTTTTATATTTTACCTCTGGTGTAAAAAGACAGATAGAAATAATCATTGTAAGTGTACAGCAATAAAGCCAACGTTTTATTGGACTATAATATGGCCAGATACCAACAGCAGAAGCCATATATTTTATAAAACCAAATTCTTTTTTATTGACATTAAAAAAGTTCATTGTAGTATTTTGAATTTATGAATGTTTCTCTATTTAAGTAATGCCATGAATGTTCTCAATAGTCTTATTCATTTTCACTTCGTTCTTTGATTTTTAAAATAATGGTGGTATAATAATGTTGATGGACGTACAAATAACTGCTTTCAATTATACTCCAGCTTATAGAAAATAATTGCATTATAGAAAATTATGATCGGTAAAGAAGTTTCATAACACGTCATTATGACACAAGGGTAGCCAAACACATGTCAGGGTGATATGAAAAGCCTTTCAAAATTCATCCGTATAATTAGACTAGTTATCTACGTGTAGAGTTTCTATACAATTTTTCCCTCAACAGAACAACGATGTTGAACAGTTATACTATGTTTGTAGTAATGGATGTGAGTTATGCTAAACAAACTTATTGGGGGAAATAAGATTAACAGCAGGATAAATAATCAACTAATTATTTGTGGTATACAACAAAGTTAATGAGTTTGTTTTTATTTAGACTTTAATTTATTATAACAGAGCAATGACTACAAAGATGATTTTTCATTCATTGCATTGAACTCATTACTGTAAAGTATGAACCAGCCGTTTTTACAAACTTAAAAATTGTAAATCATCATTAAAAAAGGTCATTCATTAAATTTAATATTTATATGTTTTAATGAAAATTTTTATAATATACTTACTGAAGTAAACGTTTCAAGTGACAGTACCATTATTTTTCCGGCTGTAAGTTTGCATGGAAGCTGGCTTCTTAGAGTTACCAACGTTACGAGTTTTTGAACTCTTGGTGAAGTTATGTACCATTGTCCAGCCATTCTGTACAAAAGAAGTTTTTATTATTTTTTAAAAATATTTTTCGAACTTTTTTAAAATTATTCGTTCTATTGTATTTATTTCATCATAAAAAATGATTAACTTACACATATTCTTGAATTTTCAAGCTGCAATTTATCAATTGTTGGGATAAATAGCAATCAAAAAATAAATGAATTAATTGGGAAATAATAAATACACCATATTTCAAAATCTGTTCTACATTATGAGCTTGAGTAGTAACCTATCGAAAAATTATTCTTAAGCACTGCCTGCTATTAAGATATTAATTAAAATTTATTATTTATTACCTGAATCGCTGTAACGCTCATTATCGGTACATTAATAAGAATAACAATGCCAAAACACCATCCATATACTCTTTCCAAGTCTTCAGCATATCTAAAGTTTTTTTTGAATAAAATATTACAGACTATCTTCCAATCATTTTTTATTTTTGTTTCGAATAAACTTACTTAATTGCTTTTTTATGATTTTTAATACACCTTATGTAATGATTATATTGAATTTTTTCAAGTGTTAAGGAACTTTTCCGTACAGTTCTGTGATCCAAATCTTCCTTAGTTGGAATATGATTCATCATATACCTAAATAATAGATACTGCAAAATAAGTTTAACTATGCTAACTTATTATTTAAAGAATGGGTAAAAATTACCCAGTGACTGCAAATAACCCAGCTGCGTGATGTAATAATACGATGAACATGATATCTGAAGCTACAGTTACATTAATTACTGTTAAAATGCTAATGCCTATGAAAAACATGATTAAGTAATAATGTTTTTCCATGTCTACTCCATGTATGTATATTGGCACTGAAAATTTTAATGGGATGGTGTTATTATTGTTCAGCAGAAAATTCAACACTCTAGGGATTAACGGTTCTAATGTAAAAATTGATGCTCCGGTGAATATTGCGCCTAAAAAATTTTGTTAACAGATTTTTTAACATCCACAATGATGAATAACGATAAGTCTTTATCCAAACCTATATATCCATGGGCCAATAATTTTCCAAATCTGGTATGACTTTGAATAATGGCACATTCATTCTCGTTTGGATAACTTTTGAGATCTATTTTTATTTGATCGAAGAGAGACTTTATCTGGTTTGAAAAAAATATTAAATAAATATTGATTAACCAATTTGAATTATTTGCAACGAATCACATTAGCTAAACTATTTGTTTAAGTTGGTAAATAAAAAAAGTAGAGGGACATTTACTAAATTTTGATTGTACATGTTGACTATGAATTTAGTAATCGAAACGATGTTTGTCATGAAAGGTGCGATTAATTCTAGAATGACTTCTCGATCATCGTAAAATTCAATTGCAGCGAAGATCTAATAAAAGAAATAGAACATATAGTATTTAGACAAATTTTGTTCAATATGTTTTTATAGACTTAATAACAATTTTACCTCAGGCACATAAACCACACAACAAACAAGAGTTGATAAAGCACCACAAAAATATCTTTCTGCAGAATTTTGATAAGGCCAAAAACCCATCATATAAGTTAGAATTTTCACAGCTCCATAACTGTCATTATTTTTCAAGAAATTCATGGTAGTATGTATGATTGTTTCGAGTTCTCTTATTTACACTAAACAAGTGAATGTTCTGCAGTTGATTATTAAGTTTTCAGTTCTTACAACTATTGGGAGTATTGTATGATATTTGATGGACGTGAAAATTGCTAAATTTAATTACGCTTCAGTTAGAAGTAGAATAATAGTTGGAAACACAACTTCGATCGGTAAGAAATGTATATCACAGAGTAACACAGCACATGTCAAAATTGTACACAAAGATAATTTTAATGGCATATGTATGTAGATAATTTGAAATAGGAAACGTAATTACCTTCTTCATTGCTAGCACAAAGTAATAATAAGTAGAACTATACATGTATAATTGTCAAATATACATATAATTAAAATGAATGGAAAGAAAATGATCAATCGTATCATATTCACTAATTGCGTACACATTAATTATCCACTTAAGATGGAAGTTGCATGGACGGTAGCTTCTTTGTAACACAAAGTGGAATAATTATAGCAATGGGAAAAATGTGGGTTAAAAAGGACATTCTATACCAGGGTAATTGTTATATAAAGACGGTACAACATATGTCAAATTATTTAAAAAGAAGAGGAAATATCATATGTGGAATTAAAGTAAAATCGTTAATACATTAATTTTTGCCTTGTGAAAATAACGAAATTATATTGTTGAAGTCGAGTGTTGTCAATACAAAACTCCAGAAAAAATCATTTTTAATTCAACTGGACATAGTTTTATTTACTATATTTCTTTTAAGTATAACATTTCAAAAAAATACAAACCTTTAATAAATATCAAGACGTGTTATATATCTATTTGTGATTGAGGTACTATTTTTATTGGAATATATTCACATTATTGCATTGACATCAACACCGTAAAGTATGAAGCAGATGTTTTGACGATCTTTTGAACATTAAAAATCTTAGATATTAGAATGAAAGATAATTTTAAATTACTTACCACAGTGAAAGTTTCCATAGATAATACTGCTACTTTTCCAGCAGTGAGTTTGCATGGTAGTTGGCTTCTAAGTGTTACTAATGTCAAGAGTTTTTGGGTTCTAGGTGTACATTTATACCATGATCCATTACATCTATAATTGTTATTTTATCTTTTTAATTTTCTTTAATATAAAAAAACATTGTTTTGTTACTTGATTAGTGAATGAACTCATACATGCATTGTTGAATATTTGCACTAGTGTTCATCAATCGTTGTGAAAAAAAACAAAATATAAATATATGAAGCAATTGAGCCACTGCAAATATACCGTACTTTACTAGTTCTTCTGAAGATTGAGCTTGGGTAGCAACCTTTAAAATTTATGAATTTTATTTATAATTATTTGTTTTACCTACTTTAAGCAAAATTTATTGACAATTGTGCACCTGAGTTGCAGTAACGCTCAACATTATCACGTTTAAAGTTATAATTATGCCCAAACACCAAACATTAACAGCTTCAAGATCTTCAGCAAATCTTGAATATCGATAAATCAATCAATTGTCATAAATTATTACAATATAAACAATTGTGGTGATTACCTAGTAAGTGGGACTCAACTTTAATTTTAATTCTTTGATGAGAATTTGGTAGAAACAATACATTTTCTGAATTTGGATTCAAGTGTTTAGAATCTCAACATGTTTATTCGTGAGATAATCAGAATACAACTTCACTTTTAGGTAATTACCAAAGTTATTTATTATGTTTTTATTTTATCATTAGAAAAAATTTACTTATTTAGTATTGAAAATATCTAAATGAACATATAAAGTACATACTTGATAGCTCGTATATGACTTTTAATACACTTCACATAATATTTATATTGAATATTTTCCAGGTAATCATCTCCATCATTATTTTCATTATCCATGTTTGTTTCAGTTGGAACATTTTCCATCATGTACCTAGATGACAATGGAGTTAAAAAACAATATAAAATGAATAAAATAATTTGGTTCAATACTACCCAGTAATAACAAACAAGGCAGCGGCATGCTGCATCAATGTGATAAAAAGGATATCCATTGTTGAGTTGCTTACAAGTATAAAAATTACTCCGAGATTTGAAAGAGGTACTAAATAGTAGTAATGTTCTTCTATATCAAATCCATACCAATAGACTGGTGTTGCATATCGGATGGGAATTGTTTCGTTGAGGTTCATCAAAGAAGCTAATACTCTAGGTAAAATTGGTTCTATGAGAAATAGAGCTGTCGTCGTATATCCTAATCCTAAAATACATTTTATAATAAATACGTACAGTCCTCTAGTAAACGCATAATTGAAAGTAAGAACAAAAATAAAGGAATTAAATGATGTTATGTACCTACATATCCATAGCAAAATTTTTTGGCATAGTTGGAGTAACTGTGAAGAATATCTTGTTCAACTTTACCCGTATAGATGAACCAATTTTCTTTCATTTGTTCAAACAATTCTCTAATCTACACTTTGTTACAAAAATTTTAAGTTATATAACAATAAATAATATTGTGTACATAAAATGTTTTGAAACTGAACTAAGTTTGAGTTGATGACGTTGTTTATATATTTTACAACACCAATCGTATCAGTAATGAGTGGAGGAATAGATTCTAATACGCGGTTTTTATCATCAAAGTAAACTATAACAGCAGATATCTAAATCAACGATAAGTTTAAGATATTAGTAATTATTATTGTAGCAATATTGATAATAGGTGGAATATTCTACCTAATTTTGTTATATCAATTTACCTCACCAGTCATTTGAAATAAAGGAGCGGAAACACATACACTAGTAAAAAATAACCGGCTTGGTAAACTTTGAAATGACCATCTTCCTATGAAGGAAGTTACTATTTTTATTAGTTTGTAATAACTTCTATCAAAGAAATCCATATTAAATAGTATTTTTCTTAACAAAGATTTTCTCTGTTTTTTTTCTTTTACATTTAATTTTTTTCTCTGACAAATATCTACTTGATATTATTTTTGATAGACGTTTAAATTGCTAACGTCAATTACTCGTCAATGTATGATAATAATAATGTGTAATATCTTATAAAGGTTTCGATTTGTTAGGGGAACTTATAGACGTTAGGCGATTATATATGTCAAATGTTGCAAATTTCTCATACATTTATGAATAATAGAAGAAAAAAAAGTGCAGAAATAAAATAGAAACTTAGTTATAGATATTGATAAATTAAATCAAACAAAGAAGATGTTGGATTGTACTTAATATCACCTGTTAGTACTTCGATGTATACAGAGAAAAGGGTAATTAATTTAAAATTATGCATATTTCGGAGCAGATATTGAGTTATTGAAATGATAAGAATATTTAGTAATTATTAACTATATCTATTTCAACATATATGGTCATTAAGGATCACTAATTGTTTATCGTTTCCACTGCACATAGGTAAGCTTTAGCTTTGACGGGTTTGTGTCAACATAGTGAAATACGACGCTGCTGTTTTGACAATCTAAAAAGAGAAACCAGTAATTTTCATTATTATTATGAATGAATTGTTTCTTTCAAATGTAACATTACCACTGTGAAAGTGTCCATTGATATTGATACCATTTTGCCAGCAGTTAATTGACATTCTCGTTGACTTCTCATTATCACGAGTGTCAGGAGCTTTTGAATTTTAGGATCGCATTCATACCACAAACCTTCAATTCTATAAAAAACATTCATTACATAGTAACCATAAATTAAGCCAGGTAGTTTTGATAAATATAATAAACCTTACACAGATTTTTGAATGAGTGTACTATTCGTTATCAATTGATGGGAGAAGAGACAAACAGCAAAGCAATGAAATAGCTGAATAGATGCAAAGGTAGAATATTTAAGAAATTGCTGAATATTTTGGGCTTGCGTTGTGATCTAATTAAAATAATTAGACATGAGTTACTCATTTATTTAAGTTTGAATTTATAAAAATAATTCTGTTTTTTTACTTGAGCTGCTGTGACACTCATTATTGGTATGTGGAGAGCAATGACTACAGCGAAACCCCATACGTTAACTGTTTCTAAATATTTTGCAAATCTGTAAAAATAGGGTAATTATAAATATGTGTATGTTGTAATTGTTGTGACCCCATAATTGAATGATTTGTTATTGTACAACAATCCATCATTACATTGTAGGGTCACCGAAACCAATAGAATTTCGCATAAAATTTCTATTTGATACTAACTGTATTGCTCTTTTATGACTTTTTATGCATTTTAGGTAATGCTGATGTCGTAGATCATCCAAAGATATATCCTTATTATGCCTTTGGTCTTTCTGATAATCTTCTTCAGTTGGAATATTTTCTAATATATGCCTGAAGATATTTCGGTTTAGAATAAACGATTATAATGGAAAGAGTTTGAAAAAAAATTATACAAAGTATATTTTGTAATTCTTTTAATGGACGAGGTTATATATAATCTCGTCTATTTGATTATATTCGGGTATTTTTGGCAAATTTAAAGATATAATAATTATCCTTAATTACCCAGTAACTGCAAATAGTGCAACAGCATGTTGTGTCATAACAATAAAGGTAGTATCCACAGTCACTTCTACATTTATTATGATCCATATGCACAGTGTCGAATAACTTAATGGGAGATAATAATTTTCTTCCATGCCAACACCGACCCAATACACGGGAACGGGATACCTATTGGGTACTGTTTCATTCTTATTGAACAAAAAATTTACAACTCTTGGAAATAACGGTTCCGCTGTAAATAAGAAAGTCGTTGCAATTGCTCCGACTGAAACAATAATTAGAAATGTATTCTCTCTAAAAATGATCAGAGCTATATAAAAAAATATCAATATATTTGATTCCAACTTATCAGTATCCATGTGTATAATCTTCCCGTGTCTGAATATTCACGAAGAATTTTCTGCTCAGATGGAGATGAATGGAAACGCCAAGTTTCTTTCATTTTCTCTAATATTCGTGTAAACTGTCATACAATAAAAACATTAATAAACATTAAGAATAATAATTATAATTAAGGAGTATCTGTTTAAGAGGTTATTTGTACACATTTCTAAACGGCTCAGAAAATGAAAAAACTAAAGGGAATTTTTGGATGATCGGTTTCATGTCTTAATCACTTAAAGTCAAGCTTATCATACAGCTTTTTAGAGACAGAATACAGATCGCGAGTTGATAGAATTCGTGATAAATAGTATAAACTGCAAGAAACAATCACTTTTAAGTATGAAACAAATTGAATTGTTTGAACAGATGCTCCTTAATTATGGCACTACTGATAAGTAGATTTGAAGGATGATTAATCATGCATATTTTTTGAAAGTACAAAATAAAGCGTACTGATTTTGTGTTAAACATATGACTGAAATATTTGGAGTACGCCCCTATTGTAATAATAATTGGTGACACGGATTCTAATACAAGTTCTTTATCATCATAAAATTTCACAATGGCAGTTATCTAGATGAAACAAATAAACATTAGCACACTGTCAATTAAAATTGTTCTCTTGTCTTATAAACGTTCTCTTTACTTCACCAATAACTTCGGTTACAGTAAACATAAAAAGAAGAAACATGAAAAAATATTTTTGTTTTTTCGGTTGAAAAGGCCATTTTCCTGTTATGATCGATAAAAATTTTAATTCTCTAAAATATTTTTCACCATCAAGTAATTGAGCCATTTTTTAAAAACCTACTAACTGATGATCTATTCTCAGATCATCACAAAGTCTCTTTTTTTTTCATCTAAAAATTATGTGTGAAAACTCGTGTGATTGTGAGTGATTGACATTGATGGTATACATTTTAGATAGTGTACTGCCAACTTACTTGGAAAAAAGTTTAACGGAAAGGTGTAAAATAAAACATGCATTACCTTCGGTTTAAAGACGACTTTATTCTTGGTATTCCCAATCGATAGAAAATATTTTGCTACATCTCATATTTGTATAAACGAGAAAAATATCAACACCTTTACTATTATTGTTATTTGCTGACTTTGTTTCATTTGAAAAAGAAAGATTTTATATTATCATTATCTTAATTCTCAATTTGTTTCAGATGCAACTAAATACAAGCATGCTGAGGAGATGTGCAAGATTATTTATCATGCTGTATGAGCGTTTAGATATGCTGTGTAAATGAAGTGAGAAATCTAATCTGTCACTATTGGCCATCATAGTAACCAGATAGCATTGTGTAATGACCCTCTCATGAATCACCGATAAATATGGTATGATTTTTTTGTTACCTTCGTACATCTTGTTGTTGTAATAACATTGAAATATTATTTCACTTGAATAGTCCATAACACTTTTTCTCTGATTAGGCAAACGAATGTCACGTCTTATTGTAGAAGAATCATTAAAGAAAGTAATTTACCTACTTTACTTAAATTATCAAATTCATAAAAAGTTCCCATCGTTAAACTTTTTTTTTAAAATAATACTTTTTATTACTTTTTTCTAAATTTTTCTAGATTACCAAAGTAAATTTTACTCTAATTTTGAGAGCAAAATGTACTCAGTAACTTCCTTAGTGTAGTCGAAAGAAGTATAAAAAATTTTAAAGTGTTAAATTTTAACCGTGAAATAGAAGACAATTATTTCAACGTACGGCGGTAATAAAACAAAAAAAAAAGAAAACCATAATAAAAATTAAAGCTTGGTGATAAATTATTGACAATTTAATTGAATAACAACAATTAGTTTGTACTTTATACCACCTCGTAGAGATTGCCATGAAACAGAAAAATTAATTTGGAATTATGACAGTAATAGTTGAAATGATATCAATTCTAGTAATTTTCAATCGTATCTATTAAAAATATATGGTCATTAAGGATCACTAATTGTTTATCGCTTCCACTGCACATAGGTAAGCTTTAGCTTTGACGGGTTTGTGCCAACATAGTGAAATACGACGCTGCTGTTTTGACAATCTAAAAAGAGAAACCAGTAATTTTCATTATTATTATAAATGAATTGTTTCTTTTAAATGTAACATTACCACTGTGAAAGTGTCCATTGATATTGATACCATTTTGCCAGCAGTTAATTGACATTCTCGTTGACTTCTCATTATCACGAGTGTCAGGAGCTTTTGAATTTTAGGATCGCATTCATACCACAAACCTTCAATTCTATAAAAACATTCATTACATAGTAACCATAAATTAAGCCAGGTAGTTTTGATAAATATAATAAACCTTACACAGATTTTTGAATGAGTGTACTATTCGTTATCAATTGATGGGAGAAGAGACAAACAGCAAAGCAATGAAATAGCTGAATAGATGCAAAGGTAGAATATTTAAGAAATTGCTGAATATTTTGGGCTTGCGTTGTGATCTAATTAAAATAATTAGACATGAGTTACTCATTTATTTAAGTTTGAATTTATAAAAATAATTCTGTTTTTTACTTGAGCTGCTGTGACACTCATTATTGGTATGTGGAGAGCAATTACTATGCCGAAACCCCACACGTTAACTGTTTCTAAATCTTTGGCAAATCTACAAAAATGAAGCAATTCAAAATATGCATATGCGGCAGTAGAATAGAATCTCGTATAATATTTCCATGTAATATTAACTGTATTGCTCTTTTATGACTTTTTATGCATTTTAGGTAATGCTGATGTCGTAGATCATCCAAAGATATACTCTTCTTATTCTGTTGTTCTCTCTGATAATCTTCTTCAGTTGGAATATTTTCTAATATATGCCTAAAGATATTTCGGTTTAGACTAAATAATTGTAAGACAATGAGTTTAAAGACAATTGCACAAAGTATAATTTAGACTATTTGATTATATTCGGGTTTCCCGGCTTGATGCGTATACTTTTTTATTTTTGCTTACGTGTTGCAATAACAAAAATGAGTCTGCACGCACTTGTCCTGACGACGAACTTCTGATTTATTTTGCGCAGAATCAAAAAACTTAAAAAAATGATAAATTTTGGGTATTTTGCAATTTAGGCCAAACTTCAACGTCTGATCTCTTAATAATAATAATTATAACAACAATGATTGATTAGAAAAAAAAATCTTTTCATCCTTTTCACTGAGAAGTTAGTCGTGTGGGTCTTCCAGATCGCACTCAGACTACTAAAGAGCACTGCTATTTATTATCGTAACAAACATAATTGTCACTAAACACTATAAATTGTACTTTGGATATTATTAATTTGTTTCAAGAGTATTAAATAATATCAAATTTAAACATATAATATTAGGTTATCGAAATATTGTTCTGTTACTTCATGAAATGAATTTTTTCATTTTTTTCTATAACCCCGAATATCTGCTTTTCATCATTAACGTGTTGTTTAGAAAAGAGTGGCTGAATTATAATTAGAACACACAATAATTATTAAGAATTACCCAGTAAGTGCAAAAAGTGCAACTGCGTGTTGCGTCATAACGATAAACGTAGAATCTACAGTCACTTCCACATTTATTATGATCCATATGCACAGTATTGAAAAACTTAATGGCAAATAATAATTTTCATCCATACCGATTCCCATCCAATATACAGGAACGGGATATCTATTGGGTATTGTTTCATTCTTATTAAACAAAAAATTTACAACTCTTGGAAATAACGGTTCTGCTGTGAATAAGAAGGTTGTTCCTGCTGATCCAACTGAAAAAATAATTAAAATTAGATTTTCTTTTAAAGTCAAAGGTGACAGAAATATATTAAAGTTTTCGAGTAAGTATATCTGATTCTAACTGATCGCCATCCACGAACATAATTTTCCTATGTCTGAATATTCACGAAGAATTTTTTGCTCAGACGGAGATGAATGAAAACGCCAAGTTTCTCTCATTTCCACCAATATACGTGTGAACTGTCATGAAATATGAATATAATTAGTTCGTGAATAATGATAATTTGAATTGAGACAAAAATAACAAGCAGGTTTTAAGTATGAGTAAGTAATCATGCATATTTTTTAAAAGTACAAAATGAAGCATACGGCTTTTGTGTTACATATATGACTGAAATATATGGAAAACGCTGCTGCAGTCACTATAAGTGGCGACACGGATTCTAATACAAGTTCTTTATCATCATAAAATTTCACAATGGCAGTTATCTAGATGAAACAAATAAACATTAGCACACTGTCAATTAAAATTGTTCTCTTGTCTTATAAACGTTCTCTTTACTTCACCAATAACTTCGGTTACAGTAAACATAAAAAGAAGAAACATGAAAAAATATTTTTGTTTTTTCGGTTGAAAAGGCCATTTTCCTGTTATGATCGATAAAAATTTTATTTCTCTAAAATATTTTTCATCATCAAGTAATTGAGCCATTTTTTAAAAATCTACTAACTGATGATTTATTCTCGGAGCATCACAAAGTCTCTTTTTTTTTTCATCTAAAAATTATGTGTGAAAACTCGTGTGATTGTGAGTGATTGACATTGATGGTATACATTTTAGATAGTGTACTGCCAACTTACTTGGAAAAAAGTTTAACGGAAAGGTGTAAAATAAAACATGCATTACCTTCGGTTTAAAGAAGACTTTATTCTTGGTATTCCTAATCGATAGAAAATATTTTGCTACATCTCACATTTGTATAAACGAGAAAAATATCAACACCTTTACTATTATTGTTATTTGCTGACTTTGTTTCATTTGAAAAAGAAAGATTTTATATTATCATTATCTTAATTCTCAATTTGTTTCAGATGCAACTAAATACAAGCATGCTGAGGAGATGTGCAAGATTATTTATCATGCTGTATGAGCGTTTAGATATGCTGTGTAAATGAAGTGAGAAATCTAATCTGTCACTATTGGCTATCATAGTAACTAGATAGCAGTGTGTAATGACATCGTTTTGAACTACTTTTTAATATGGTGAGTTCTTTTTGCTATTTTATTAAATCAAAATTATGATCATTACTCTTCATGATAATCCACTTTATGTTTCATCGTGATATGAATGCTAAATCATGTTGACTAACATTTAAATAGATATTTTCTTATTTTACTTATAATTAGATTGTTTCAATTGATGCATAAATTAAAACAATAATTGTTATAAATAATTAGTACAAGATTAGAACAATCTAGAGTTATCACTCTTATAGTATATTTGTTATTCAACATATCAAAGTTCTTATTTGTACTATTGACAATTTTCAGTTCTACAACATTTTAATGTTTATATTATTTTCCGTTTAAAATACCTTTTAAGAGTCTTGCATTTGTAATAAAAAGGTACCATACGATACTGCAGTTTTTACCATCTTGATAAAAACAAGTATTTATTTATGATTTATTCAAAAAGAATAATTTGCGTACCATAAAAATTCAAATAATTTTCTTTACCTGGATAAACGTCTCCAGAGACATAACAACCAATTTTGCTCCTGTCAGAATACATGGTGTTTGACTGCGTAAAGTCATCATTATTAACAATTTTTGTGCTTTCAATGAATTAGAATACCACGCTCTAAAGGCACTATGAAAATATGATGAGTCTATAATAAAATTTTATTTTCTTTTATTTATTTATTTTGTTGAACATACATATGTCTTTGAAATTCAAAGCTCTTGTCCATTAACTGTTGAGATAAAAAACAGTAGAAAAAAAGATGAAACATTTGGCCAATTGAAAATGTAACATTTTTTACCACCGACTGAATGCTATCTAATTCAGCTATCATCTGTAAAATTAAATTTAATTATGCAGAGATCATTTATTACTTGAAAACATTGTTGAATTTATTTTGAACTGTGGTATTTGGAGTACTAGCCTGTAATGCCGTAAGACTAGCAAGTGCTAAATTCATTATCAACGTAAAACCAAAACATTTGCAATATACATACTCGAGTATTTGAGAAAATCTGTAAAAGATGTTTATAAGGATTGTGACCAAATATAACATTACATCTTGCTATTAAAAAGAAACAGCAAACATACTCTATTGCTCGTTTATGCATCAATATGCATTGAACATAATGCTCAAATTCTATATCATCAGATACTTTAAGATGATTCAGCTTGATGAGATTGATCGATTTATTGATTTCCATAGATTCCTGTTTGATCCGTTCTCTAAATATCATTGTTCGATTAAATTTTTTGTTACCATGGAATATGCTTTGAAGAAAACTAATGACATTACCCTAAAATATCAAATAATCCACAAACATGTTGCAACAAACTGATAAACATAACATCACTGTTAAAAACAACTGTAACTAAAGAAGTAACACACAAATTGGATAATACGAATAAACTCCAATAATATTTCTCTTGATCAATAATCATGTAATCCATAGGAGCAAGAAATCTACCAGGAATTGAATCATTATTTTGAAGATATCCAATTATTTTTGGAATGCAAGGCTCTGATAAATATATAGAAAGTGCTGCATATGCAAACACTAGAAGATTATGTAAAAGTTTTGAATATTATTTTCATTAATAGAACAATCTTTATTTGAAACAAATATTATGAATCAATTACCTAAATATACTGATCCCATTATCATTCCAGTATTGGCGTAGGTTCGCAAAGTTTCTTTTTCTTTATCATTTAATAAACTCCAATCAAATTTTATTCGATTATATAAATGACGTAGCTGGAAAGGATGACTTATTATTATCGTAAATTACTTCTTTAAAGAAAAGATAGTATGATTTTTGAAATACCTCTTTTCTGTATATTAATGCAGTAACATGATTTAATATGCCAAATGCATCTACAATAAAGGGCAGGACTGATGAAAATATAACATCTTTATCAGTATAATGCTTATATAAATATACTATCTAGAAATAAAAAACGTAGACTGTTAATATAAAATAAAAAAAGTAGCCGATTAATTCTTTTTACTATTCTTATACTTGTGGTGTAATTTGCACCGAAAAAATGAAAGCCCACATGCCACAAGCAATATATATGACTTTATGACTTTGGTAAGGCCAGATTCCAACAATTGATGCACAAAATTTGCAAACTCTGTAACAGTGTTGATCGTAAAAATCCATTGTATATAGTATATTGATAATTTTCATTGCTCTAAGTCTTTCATTTCCGTTGGCTGATACTTTCTTTCTGCTTATTTTTTTATGAAATATTTAGAGGTTCATTATTATTGATCACTTTAGGTACAGAATGACGTATGATTGATGGCAGATCATGTATGGTAGAAGTTTTATAATACTAGCCTGTTCGAAAAAAAACTTTTCACAGCATTTTATTCTTTCTTTATTTAAAATTCTTTATAAATTTAATATGATCTGAAAAAACTAGTAAAATCAGGTGTAGTATATTACTGAATTTGTGAATTGATATTCTTCATTGGTTAGTAAGGTTTCACGAATTTATAATACTAAATATTATTTTGCATCTTTACATTTATATCTTGCAACATTGTTTATGCAGTGTCAGTAAATAATTGAGTATTAAAAGAGTAGAAATAATAAAAAGTGTAAGTGTTATTTATTTAAGCAACTCCAAAGACGCGAAAATTGTTAGATTCTAGTACAATTTAGCTAAAAGTAGAATAATTATTGTAAAGAAATCTTTAGATGGTAAGGAATATATTTAAAATGATACAACAAATGGATATATGTTGTATAAAGATAATTTAAAATAAGAAATGTAATTACCTTCTTCATTGTTAACACAAAGTATTAACTGGTAAAACTATACATAGACACTTGTCAAATATTATTCGATGGATTAATTATATTATTAAGAAAAAGATCTTGTCAGTCGATACTGTAAACATACAACTGCAGAAAATCCTTTTTTATTTCATCGAAATTAATCATTTTTGCACGTTTTGTTTTAATGGTGACAACAAGGCAGCGATACCATCCCTTTTTGTCACACCCCTATATTCTTATATATCAATAGACTTGAGTCATATTATTTATGGGAATTGTTTTGTTGAGGTTCTTCAACAAAATAAACACTTTAGGTAAAATTGACTCTGTAAAAAAATAAGACTGCTGGCATGCATTCTAATGAAACTTTTATCGAAAAAAAATCCTTTCGATTAAAAACTAATCATTCCACCTGAAGCTAAATATTATTTCCGATATATCTATGACGAAAATTTTATCCCGCCTCAAAAAGAAGAGTAAACTTTCTTTCAGGGGTATGTTCGACTAATTTTTGTGTGATAAATGGAAACCGAAAGTTGATGCTACATGCGAAATAAATAGATAATAAAATGAGATAGATTTTTTAATAAATACAATTTTTGTCTTTCTATTTACATACGACTCTATACATACTAATTTTTAGAAGATTTCAATATGACTTATTGCGTCGAGAGAATAACGGTAAAGTAGGATGCAGATGTTTTGATGAACTTAAACAAAAAGTATTAAATTAGTTGGGATTTAACGATAATCTGTTCCAAGAAAAGAATTTTAAATGTTACCGCTCCATAATTTTCGATGGATAATATAAGAAATTTGCCTGCTGTAAGGTAAAGAGGAATTTGACTTCGCATTATAATAAACAACAACAACATTTTCAACTTATTCGATAGATTGTACCATTTTCCATTGAATCTGTAAGTATAGAACATTACATCAATTGTTTTTCTCCATTTATTCAACGGTAAGTATTTATGTATTTTTACGCACAATAAATCTTGTAAACGTGCACTGTGATCCATCAATTTTTGTGATAAATAAAAATCGAAAAATAGATGAGACAATTGAGCCAACACAAATGTACCATGTTTTATATACTGCTGAATTGTATTATTCGGTTTCATTAACTAAAAATATAAAATCGTAGTCTATCACAACTTCTTCTACAATAACCCTATATTAAATCTATCAATTTACTAAATAAAAATTTGATTTATTATATTTATACCATTACAGCAGCAACACTTAACATTGGCAATTCCATCATTACAACAATTCCAAAACACCAAATGTATGTTTCTTCAAGTAGGTGTGCAAATCTTCAATATTATGTGATTCAGTTATATTAAAATCATTCATGATTTTTTCAGGAATAAGAGTACATACTTGAATGCTTCATTGTGACTCACAACACATTTCGTGATGCGTTGCATATCGGTATCCTTATGTTCCATTGGAGGATAATATTTGATATTATCTGGAAGTGTTTCTTCATTGTCAAAATTTTCTAGTCGATGCCTGCATTAATAAATGATTATTAATGAAATGTTTATGACAAAACCTAAAAAAATATTGTAGAGGCAATAGAATTAGCTATTTTTACCCAACAATAGCAAATAATGCACAAACATGTTGCAAAAATACTATAAACATCAAATCTGAACTTATTAATGCAGCAATAATAGCTGCAATACAAAAACTAGAAATAGTTATTAATATCCAGTAATATTTTTCTTTATCTATTAATATAAATTCCATTGGAGTAGCAAACTTGAAATCCTCTTCTGGTGTTATATTCTTTCCAAACAGTATTTGTTGAAATTTCGGAATAACAGGTTCTGATACATACAACAATACTGTAATGTAACAACCAGCTGTAAGTGAATAATGAAAATTTTTAAAAATTATCCATCAAAGTTAGAGGAGCAATTCAATGAAATAATATTCAAATTAATACATACCTGTATATGCCAAAACTAATTTTCTTCCAGTTTCTGCATATTCTTTGAGAATATTTATTTCATCTTCGTTTATTAACGTCTTCCAATCCCTTTCCATTCTTAGTAATAGAATAGTAAGCTGAATTTTATTGGGAACATTGAAGATGTGTTAATTAAACAATTAAAATGAAAACATAAAAAAAAACTACACACCGCTTCTTTACGATACACCATATTAAAAAACTTCACTAGGCTTATTATATTTCCAGCAAAAGGAGCAACTGTTTCTAATAATAGAGAAATATCATTGGAATGAACAATAACAGCCAAAACCTACAATTTTTTTTATTTAAAAGAACAATATATTTAGATCACATTTATTTGTTGTCACATCACCGCGAAAAGTTGAAGTTTCCCTTTTTGTTTCGGTGAACGAAAGTGACGTTTTTTCTTTTATCCGTCATCTTTCTAACTCCATAACAAAGGAAATTTTAACTTCTCACGATGATTCTTCCCTCCCGCTCTACATTAAAGACTATAGAAAATTTTTAAATTTACTTTGGGAATAAATTGAATTATAAATAAAAAAATGTATATTGAAGAAAACAGACGACCACTGGATTTTGGTTGGAATGGCCATTGGCCAACAAGAGAAATGAAACTTTTAGTAAAACGGTAATACTTCTGATCAAAGAAATCCATATTTACAGCCATATTCAAGAACTAAGTATAGACTAATCATGCAATATTATGATAAATTATCTTTCCCTGTGTGAACATACAAGTTGGAAGGACATGTAAATTAACATCAATGCAGAACAACGATCGGATGATTGACGTATCAATAGTGCCTTATGAGTACTTTAAAATTTAATTTGCTATATATGAAATCAATAAACTTGAGATAGTATTTATTTTTGCATATTTTTCATAATGAATTTTTCAGTAAATGAATTATAGTATATGAGAGAGAATATAATGGAAGGCATTATGAATTAAAATAATTTTATTCTCCAATTCACATCAAATGTGTTTAAGAAGATTTCTTATTAACTTGACATCCCAAAAATGTAAGTGTTACAAATATGAAGTAAAAATAAATTGAATAATTGACGAAATAATAACGTTGAGGAAGAAAAAATAAAAACTTTGATATGATTAATTCTTTCAATTTATTTTTTTTTGGAATTTTAAAGTTCTTTGAGTATTAATTACTAGATTATAAAAATGTAATTACATTTATTCATCGTGTAGATAATATAACCGTGAAGTAAGAGACAGCCGTTTTGATAAACTTGAATTAAAGATTTTTGTTAGTTCATTGGCCAATAATTTTAATGGTGAGAAAATAATACTTACTTTGCCGTAGTTTTCAATAGATAAAACAAAGATCTTTCCAGTAGTCAAATAACAAACACGTTCACTTCGCATCATCATAAATCGTAACAAGTTCTTCGTATTCTTAGATTGATCGTACCATTTTCCATGTGTGCTTTAAATTAAAATATATTTTAATTAATATTTCTTTTTCAGAAAATGAACAACAACAGAATGGATAATGATGAAAATAGTACGTTACACACCAAGAAAGGACCATTGAGCCTAACATCATCTTTGATTAGTAAACTTACTTTCTTTTATTGGTACGTAATGTACTATGTTATTTAATTAATTTAAAAGTATAAACATAAAGTAATTAAATTATTCATACATATATTCGGTTATCCGTCCACTGTGATCCATCAACTGTTCTGATAAGTAAAAATCGTAGAACAGATGTAACATTTGAGCAAGTATAAAAGTAATGTATTTCATGGCTAGTTGGGTTGAAATCCCTGGTTCCATGAGCTAAAAATAATGAAAAGTAAATATTTCAAAAATAAAATACCACGTTGAATTTACTCAGGGAATACCATCACTGCTGTAACACTGAGATTTGGCATATTGGCCAAAACCAAAACAGCAAAACACCACTTGAATGTTTCTTCAATTGCTTCCGAATATCTTAAACATTAGTTTAAACTATACGTAAATTGATTATATTAAAACAAAAAAAAAAGAAAAACATACCTGATGGCATGAGTGTGAGTTTCAATGCTTTTTGTCATACGTTGAAAATCACGATCTTTGTGCTCCATTGGTGGATAATATTTAACGTTTTCAGGATTAGTTTCTTCAAGTTCAAAGTGCTCTAACCGATGGCTGTATGAACAAACAGATTTCTCAGAATATTTATTATAAACAAACGTTTAAATATAAGTGCTCTTCAGTAGTCTGGGTGCGACTCGAAAGGTCTACACTATTAACTTCCCAGTGGAAAAAAGTGGCTGGACCGATTTTGCTGAAAACCATAAGTTCTAAATATGGCGTAAAGTTCTAAATTACGCCATTATGCGTCAAATGCAATTGGTCCCACGTCAATATCATATTTTTTTCTCGAGGTAATCGAGACGAAAAATAATTTCGACTTTGGGGACCTTGAAACATGGAGATATGCCAAAATTCAGGATTCGTAAAATCGGACCCATTACTACTTAACGTTCCACTGGAAAATTAAAAATATTTTGAAATATAGTTTTTATTACCCTACAACTGCAAATAATCCACAAACATGTTGCAAGCATATAGTAAATATAACATCCGAAGACACTATTCCAAAAATGATCATGAAAATGCACACTCCAGAGAAAGTCACTAGTGGCCAATAATATTTCTCTTGATCTATTATTAAAAATTCCATAGGAACAGCAAATTTGTAATTATCTTCATCTGATAAATTTGTACGAAAAATCATACTCTGGAATTTCGGAATCATAGGTTCGATAACGAACAAAAATGTTGTAATGATCGCTGCCCCTAGAAAAAGATTCAAGGTTCAAATATTCATGTAAAGTAAATGTAGTTGATACAGAAAGTTAATAAGACAATTATCAAAAATTCCATACGTACATACATATCCAATCACTAGTAATCTTCCTGTTTCTGCATATTTCGACAGAATTTGTTTTTCCTCTTCATTTAGCAATGTTTTCCAATCTTTTCTTAGTTCTTCTAATAGCGCAAGATACTTAATTGAACAATATATATTTTTTATTAATCAGTGAACCGATTTTCAATTACGAATGCAGCTTATTATTCATGTAATAAAAAATTTTCATATTTACATACCGCAGGTCTCTTTAATATCAAATTAGTATATTTTACTATACTCATTAGATCTGTTGCAAAAGGAGCCACTAAATTTAGCATCATATCACCATCATCACTGTAGAGCATGATACAAAATACCTACGGATATATGATTTACTAACAAAATTAATTTTACAATGCATTTATTTATGATAATATTTTCAAAAATTACTTTTGGCATCACTTGAGCTAAAAACATGAAGTAATAAACCCCCTTCATTAATGTATTCCACCATGTTCCATCATGATAAGGCCATCGGCCAACTGAGATAACAACAGATTTAGTAAACCGATAATATCTTTGATCAAAAAAATCCATATTCACGACCGAACTCACTGCGTGAGACGTGGAATTAAAACTATAAATACTACAGTAATTAAAGTCCTATCGTTGCTTGTAGTGACATCAAATCAAAAAATTTCTAGCACCACAGGAAAAGTGACAGCTTGATGGACATCTTAATAGCTTTTTATAAATATTACACTATAAGACAAAAGAGGTGGTTGGTGGTAGTTCTCTAAAAAATCCAAGCTGCTTCATAAAGAATTAATAAAAGAATCAGAATACAGTAATTAATACTGGAGTGTTATTGAATATTTAATTATTCGATTCATGCTGCGTCGACGAGTTACCACATTATTTTTTAAGAAACATTAATATACAAGTCTTAGTTAGAGTTCGACCAAAGTAAATTATGATAAATGGAATCAATAATAAAAGTTTTTATCGATTCGTTTTTTTAACACTGTAAATCAAAGGATATCAATAACAAATGTCTTATTGAGTAGTTGAAGACTTTAAATATTTTTGAACTATAGTAGTTATATAATAATGGTGAAAGAAAATAATTACTTCAAATAATTAAGAGTATTCATGTGTTTTGTGCTTCTAAAAAAGTTAAATATGAATTAAAAACCTTTTTTATAGGTGCATTGCTGCTCTAAAGTCGTAATGTTGAACAGTAAATATTTAAACAATTCTAGTGTTCAATATATATTTTTGACAGTGTTGAAATAATGATAGTTTGATCGACATTTGAATAGCTTTTTTGACATATTTGGCTGATAAAAGTAAAGGTTAAATTCTCGGAACAAATAATTTATAAAGCATATATTAAATAATTATTATCATTTTCATTAATTAACTATCAAACTGCTATAAGTAGTAAGAATTTTATAACTAAAAACATAATAATTTAAAAATTTATATGTGTAAAGATTTGTTTCAAAAAGGTAAAATTCAGGGATGAAGAATAAAAAAATTTGATATGATTATTCATGGTAATTAATTGTTTTAAAATTTTTAAATACTTTGAGTATTATTCACTAGATTTTGAAACTGCAATTATTCATCGTGTAAATAATATAACCATAAAGTAAGAGACAGCCGATTTGATGAGTTTAAATAAAAAAAATTACATTAGTTAATTGACCAATGAATAATTTTATTTATAAAAAAATAAATCTTACTTTGCCAAAATTCTTAATTGATAATTTTAATGTAACATGTGATTCATACGAATTTTTTTTTCAGAAAATGAAGAACAAAAAAAATTAATATTGATAAAAAAGGACATCACACACTAAAGGAGTACGATTGAACAATACTACATTATATTTAGGGAAACAATCTACTTTTCATCTATTGGTACGTATTCTCTTGTGTTCAATTTCTCTATCTTACAATACATTTCAAAGAAATTAAATTATTCATACATGTGCTCGCTAATGCATTCACCATGATCGAATTGTAGTGTTATAATTTAAAACACTACGATGTTCACTATTGCTTACTATTTGCAGTAAAGTGACTAAGAAAAGTTCATACAGTACCAAAGCGGTCTCTATTTTCTAAATTGCAAAATAGTGCACTCACAAATAGAAAATTTGGAATTATTAAATACCGCAGGTTTTTTAATCATCACATTAACATACTTTATTACACCAATTGCTTCTGTTGCAAAGGGACTAACTAAGTTCAGTACCACAGTAGAGTTGTTGTAATAAAGTATCAAACAAAATACCTGCAGACATTTTATTCACAAATAAAATCAAATTAATATCATGATCTATGTTTTTATTATAATATTTTTAAAAAGTACTTTTGGCATCACTCGAGATATAAGCACCCGAAAAAAAAATTTCGTTCCCCGAATGTTCCTCTTGTGGGACTATGGGGAACGTTTGACGAACGCAATTTTTTTATACGGGCATACAAAAATCATGCTCATTGTTTTGTTCCATAATTTGCAACAATAAGGCCAACGGCCGACCGCAGCAACGAAAGTTTTAATAAACTAACAATATCTTTGATCAAAAAAATCCATACTCACAATCGAACTCACTTCACAAGACGTAGAGTTAAAATTATCAATACTACAACAATTATAGTACTATCGTTGCTTGTATTGACACCGAATCAAAAAATATCTAACAGTACAGAAAAAGTGGCAGACTGATAGAAATTTTAATAGAACACAGTAATTAATACTGGATAGTTTTTCGGTATTTAATTACTCGATTTACTGTACCTCGACGAGTGAGTTACAACATAAATAAGTAATGAGTAAAATTGTCAACAACCAACTACTAAAATTATGCACGGAATAAAAAATTTCCAAAATAACTGTTGAAAAATTAAAGATTTAAAATATCATAAAAATATATTTATTCTTTGAATTAATTTACACTAGTAAAATATCTGTAAAAATGACTACGTTGATGCTAGAACTGTCATGTAGGACGCAGTAGTTTTAATGAGCTTAAAAAGAATAATTTTTAGTTGAAAAAAAATATCTAGACCTTCAGACTTAAAATAATATGTTAATGTTACCATAGCATAAGTTTCGATGGATAAAATGATAAATTTTCCTGCAGTAAGATAGCATGGATATTGAGTCTGCATTGTCATGAAGATCAATAGTTTTTTTGCTTCCAAAGAAAAATCGTACCAATTTCCATTCATTCTGCGGATTTACATTTAATTATTCAATCATAAGTTCTGTAGTAGCTGAGTTTTGAAATTAAAATTTTATACAGACATTCGTTCTCGTATAAGTGAGCTTTGATCCATTAATTGTTGTGATAAATAACAATCAAATAGCAAATGTATCAATTGAGTCACTGAAAATGCGGCATATTTTATCCTCTCTTCCAGTGTATTATCTGGTAAGAGCAACTACAAAAGTCCTTATGTTAAATTAATTTTTATAAAATTGAATCAATAGAATATTGTTAATGGAAAAAAGTTTATACTATAGTAATAATTATGACAAATACTGTTCCAAATGATGGATACTTATTTACATACCTGATAAGCAGTCACACTCATCATAGGAAAATTAGCCAAAATAACAAAAGCAAAACACCACATGTATGTTGATTCCAAAAGCACGGCAAATCTATGATATCATATAATATTCGAATATTTAGTAGTTGAATTATAAATGAATATCAAATATCTATTGATTTACTGTATTGCTTCACTGTGGCTCTTGATACATGTTATGACATGCCTAACATCAGGATCTTTGCAGGTAATCGATGCATAGTGTGGATTATCATTATTTATTTTACTTTTATCAGAATGTTCTAGACGATGTCTACACAAAAACAAATAATTATTAAATATATTAATGAAAATAGACTTATTAAGTGATAAAATTTGACTGAATTTACCCAACGACTGCAAATAATCCACAAGCATGCTGTAAAATTAGAATAAAAAGAATATCTGCAGCAGTATTTGAAGTGACGACAAAAAGAATAAATATATCAGTGATCAATGTACAAGTCCAGTAATAATTTTTTTTATCGAAAAAATAATATTCCATGGGGACAACAAACTCTAAATCATCAGTTGTAATATTTGTCTTAGTAATAAAGCTGTAGAGTTTAGGAGTTAGAGGATCCAGGATGAAAGTTGTCGTTGCAGTAAAACTCACTACTGTAATTAAAATCAAATTATGCGATTAACTATTACTATATACAGCAATAATGATGATAACGATGATGGGACTCAAATCTCATTTAAATTTTCCAAAAGTTTATTGCCAATTTCGATTTTTGGACTCATTACTATAATTTCACTCTACTAAGAAGTTGATAAATCAACTTACCAGCATATCCAATTGCAATCATTCGCCCAATTTCTGCGTAACTTAATAAAATGTTGTGTTCATCTTCATTTAATAATGTTTTCCAATCACTTTTTATTCTTTCTAAAATTTTTTTAATCTAAAAATGCATCAAATCATTAAAAAAAAATTAATCTTAATATAAAATAAATATGTGAGGATAAAAATTTTACATACCATATTCATGCGGTATAATAAATTGATATATTTTGATGCAGCTATTACATCTACAGCAAAAAGAGGAAATACATCCAATAATTTTTCAGCATCATCAGAATAAACTGTCATGGCTATTATCTACAAGTATCGTATTAATATACAGAAAAAGTATTGAAAATTTATCTGAAACATTGTCTTTGGTTGATTTACTTTTGGAATTGTTTGCACTATAAATATGACAAAGATTATTATATTAATAGCAGTTGTTTCCGATTTACTCCTGTATGGCCATAAACCGACATGATAAGCATAACTTTTACAAATTTTGTAATGTCTTTGATCGAAAAAATCCATATCTACTGAAGGTACAAGACGTGGAACTTTAGCTATAATAGTGAAAGTCAATCATAAAGCAATTTTTTTACACTTGACATGTGGTTTCAAAGGATACAATATCTCTAATAATAGTAAAAGTGACACGTTGATAGACATATTAATAGTCCGTTATGATTAATTGATTACGCATAAAGACCGTTGTGAGATGCAAAGAATATTTGAAAAGTTTCGATCGTTTTAATGTGGAAGATTGGAGTAGTTATGTTTGTAGGATAGAAAATAATGAATGAAACAAAAGCAAAGTCATTGGAGTAACAACTATGATCGCATAATCTGAATTTTGGAGTAATATGTTAAAAATATTGGTGAAGATCAACAAATTCGTCACCGTGGTTGTTGAAAATTAAATTCACTACAAAAAGTGTTCAAAATACAACGAATTTAATAAAATTGAAAATAATTCAGTTTTTATAATGTTTATTTTTATTAAATTTATATACTTACATGTGTATCTTCAATATCTTTTGTGGATTGTTAGAGACAGTGTTACCAGAAAATATGTATTTATTTTTATATAAACTCTTTCTATTACCTTTTTATCTTGTTCTAATTAAAGATGATTCATAAATCCATAAAAATAGCTACCTTTACTTTTAAAATTTTAAAAAATATCTCAAATATTTTAAATAAAATTCTAAGAATTAAAATAGTGATAACTATTATAGTATGGAAAAATATTATAACACCAGAAAAAATATTGATAAACAAGTTAGAAATATTTGTTCAGTTGATCTGTTATTACAAACTAATTTTATTTAGATTTATATACACTATTGTTGAAAAATATTATTCATTGCGTTGATACTAAGACCGTAAAATATGATGCAGCAGTTTTGACCATCTTTTACAAAATTAAAAAAAAAAAAGTTATTATAAAGTGTTTTATATAAAAAGTGTAAATCATACGTAAATATTACCTTTGCGTAATTTTCGATTGATAAAATAATCACTTTTCCAGCAGTTAAATAACATGGCAATTGACTCCTCATCGTTATGAATACCAAAATTTTTTTAGATTTTATTGAATTGTTGTACCATCGCCCATAAGCTCTATAAGCGTATGATTAATTATTTTTCTAAAATAAATCTATTACCACATTGGTACAGAAAGTTCTCCATGTTAAAATGGAAAAATGAACTTTTTGCACAAATTTTTATTTACATACATTCGTTCCTGAATGTTTAAACTGTGATCAGTCAGTTTTTGTGATAAAAAACAATCGAAAAATAGATGTAGCAATTGAACACCTGCATACATTGCATATTTCATCAACTCTTGAACAGTATTTCCTGGTGCCATTACCTACAATAAAATTCCAAACTTTTATTAAAAATGTCTTTTTATATTTAAAGATGTCATAGAAAGAATTTAAAACTGATTTGGATACCTGAACTGCTGTCACACTCAACATTGGTAAGCTTGCCAAAACAACGATGCCAAAACACCAAATATAGGTTGCTTCAAGAATTTCCGCAAATCTTTAACATGATATTATTATGTAACATCATTGTGACTATAATTTCTGAGAAGTTGGTGTGCATACTTTAATGCTTCATGGTGGCTTACAATACATTTGGCAGCATGTTCAGCTTCGTAATCTCTCCTTTTTGAAGCAGAAGACTCACGTTCTCTTTCATCATAGGTTTCATTTTTTTCAAAGTTTTCAAGTCGATGGCTGAAATTTAATAAATCCATCATATCATTTGATAAAACATTTGCTTTGTTTCATCTACTTTAAACACATTTGAAAAATAATAAAAAAATAATCCAGGTATCAACTTTATTTGCCATTTGGGAACTTCTAGTATTATCATTACACTAATATCAATTATTTTTAACAATCTAATAATATCTTACCCTACAACTGCAAATAATCCACAGGCATGTTGTAGGAATACAATAAAAACAACATCTGACGATACAATACAAGTAACTATGCCCATAATGCACGTACTAGAAACACTTAATAAAATCCAATAATATTTTTCTTTATCAATTATGATATATTCCAAAGGAATAGCAAACTTGACTGGTTCTTTTGTAGCATTGAACAGTAAAGTTTGAAGTTGAGGTATAGCTGGCTCTAGTACAAACATCAAGGTAGTTGCTAAAACAGACGCTGAAAATTAAGTTTAATTGTTTAGTTAAACAAACAAAATTCAATTATTATCTAAAATTTAGTTATTGTATTTTCGAAATTGCAATTAATTTATTGTACCTGCATATCCTGTAGCCAACACTCTTCCTGTATCTGCATAACTTTCCAATATACTTCTTTCTTGATCATTCAGCAAAGTATTCCAATCAGATTTCATTCTTTCAAAAAGTTTTTTCAGCTAAATTCAACATTAATTAAAAACATTTTTAATTAATAGATATCTAACGTTAAATAATCAGGTTAATTTTACGTACCTTTTTCTCACGAAATATCATATTCATGAATTTAACACTACTCATCACATTGGCTGCCCAATTAGAGATTGCTTCCAACATAACTCTTGAATCATTAGCATGAACTATTAAGGCTAAAACCTAAAAAGATTTATTTATATACTGAAGATTGAAATCAAGAAACAATTATTGTGCATTTACATATACATTTGAAATTTACTTTTGGAATTCCTTCAACAATGAAGAAAACAATAAACAAAAAAATGATTAATCTATTTCGTAGTTTACTATGGTATGGCCATGTACCGATAACAGAAGCAAAGAATTTACTAATTTTATAGTTTCTTTGATCAAAAAAATCTATATCAGTGTTCATGTTTTATAATAACAAACGTGGAATTTGAACTACAATAGCTAGAGTCAATCAAGTTTTCCTTCAAACTTAATATGAAGTTTCAGAATGTAAAATTTCTTCCCACGGCATATTGATAGACGTTTCAATGAGCTTCGTTAATTATTACATGATATGCAAAGGATTATTGAAGAATGCACCAGCATTTAAGAAGTTTCGATCGTTAAAATATGAATAATAGATCGAACGAGCTTGCCCTTTAGTCAGATGTTATGATATCAAATCGTCTATCAGTTAACGATTAGTTCTTCTGTGTACAGAAAAGTGATAATGAGACAAACAAGAATTTTATCAATTCAAATTATTAACAAAAATGAATTAAAAGTTTTTTGTCTTCAAATTAGAAAATCTATTTTAACATTTAAATTAACAAAAATAAAATTTGTGATACAATTTTCCTCTTCTTTGCCGACGATATTAAATATAAATTATGTTATGCCACAAATTGACGGAAATATTATATGCAATATATATTTAATACATTAAGCTAAAATAACAAATATTAAATTAAAGCAAGTTGATGTAGATTTTAATAAATTTTTCCATTTTGGCAAAAATTTAATAGCTGACCATCAATAATCATTCATAGTTTAATAAAAATATGATTCAATAGTTGATTAGATTTCTTGGACAGAATTCAAAAGTGTAAAATATGACATTGTTGATTTTAATACCTGAAAGAAATACAATTTTTTAATTATCATTGTACTGACGTTATAAAATTATTTTCAGATATTGAAAATGATAAACACATACAGCACAGTAAAACTCCAAGGATAATGTAAACATTCTTCCAGCAGTAATACGGGCCACTATTTTACTTCTCATCGAAATTAAAATCAGCAATTTTCGTGTTCTCATTGATAAAGAGTACCATTTACACATGATTCTACAACAACACAACAGTGATATATTTTAAATTGGACTTGAAGGTAATATTTAATATTAATATAAAAAAAAATTTCCATAGCTATTACAGTCCTACCAATATAAAGCCTGGGCTATAATCAGCCCTCCTAAGTTTAAATAAATTAATAATAATTACACAGCTTCAGCGATTTGTGCAGAATGATCCATTAGTTGTTGTGGAAAAGCACTTTGAATGAATACATGCATTATTTGTCCAAGCAAAAATGCTCCATATCGCAGGATTTCGTCCACATTATCTCGATGTGTCATTAACTGAAATATTAATATTTTTAAAATAAGCAAAAAAAAATATTTTCATATTCTAATTTTACCCAAAATCCTGAAAAAGTCATAGTTAATACTTCCATGCCGATCGTGTTAAGTGTAATCCAACAAAAAGTATCATCAAGAATTTTCACAAATCTTTTTTCACAAAACATAGATAGAAATTAAATTAATTGATATTAACAATTTAGATAAAGCTCAGTTAATTTACAATGTTTCTTACTCATAAGCTCGATTATGTCGTCGAATGCATTCGGATAATACCCGAAATTCTCTATCGACTTGTTTTTTAGGATATAGATTAATTTCTAAGGATCCAATGTCAGATAAATGTTCTAATTGATAGCTATAAGTAATAACATATACTGTATGATAATAATAAAATATGGTTAATTAGAAATATTCCATTACCATATGAAAATTGAAAAATCATTTTATTACCTTATAACGGCAAATAGTCCACAAACATGTTGAATAAAGACTACAAATAAAGAATCAAGTGTTATAATAGACATAATTACCATAGTACAAGTTAGCATAACATGAGCTTCAAGAAAATAGAAATATTTTTCCATATCAATTATTGGAAAATATAAAGGATAAGGAAACTCAATCTTTGCTGGTTGATCAGATAATCCTAACCATTCCAGTATTTTAGCTCGATTCGGTAACGTTATGTATACCATTATTGCGCTTAAGTACAATGCTAAAATAACATTCACATTAATTATTAAGATAAAAATATTTAGAAGAGATAAATTAATCAAATTTTACTTAAAATCCAAAAAGTATATTCACATCCCTGATCGGCATATTTCAGCATAATATCAAATTCAGGACCTGATCTGAGCAATGACCATTCTTTGCAAATGTGTGTTAATAACGTTTCAATCTAAAATGAATTAGAATATTAAAGTATAAATGTTTTATTCTAAAACAGAAATTTTTAAAAATAATAGTAATCCGTACCTTATTCATTCTCAAGAAGTGATTTAATAATTTGGATAAACACAAATATGTGTAAATATGAATTGGAACCAAAGTTATTATTGTTTGCAATTGAAAATCAACAAAAACGATATATATCTTAAAAAAAATAAGGTGCAATAATTATTCACTATTCGTTCAAAAAAAAATGTGATAAATTTTTGAGAGTTACAATCATGAAAATGAGAAATACCATTGATAATATTGAAGGTCCAACGATCAATCCCCAAGATATACCCATAAACAATTTTTCTGTTCTACTTTGAAATGGCCATCCTCCAAAAACACTTAAGCAAATAATGATTAAACGGTAACGGTTATGATTGAAAAAATCCATATTGGTTGTTCAAATTAACTTTATCAACTAAACTGCTGAATTGTAGGAGTCAAAGTAATGTTGTATATGCACATTATTTATTCTGATAAAGTCAATTCTTCAATTCTTGAATTAATAATAAAGTAAGGAATACGCTTAAACGAAATATCATATGTGATTTATGTCTTACATAAAAGATAGGCATATGACGCGACAATACAATAAGTTTCTCTGACACTACTCTTCATTCTTTGAAAATCATAAAGGGTTATTTAACTTTTAGCTATTATCATAATAGATCAATGTTCCTCTATATCCACGATTACCAATAGCAGTTCTTATTGTAACATTATTTGAAGAAAATAGAGGCTTCAACAAAATGTTGTATGCAAATTCTATTGTTCTCGTTCAGTAAATAATAAAGTAGCTTTTATCAACAATATCAAGGTGAATGAAAACCTAATGAGTGGTGAGATTTTTTATATACAAATACTTTGGGAAATAATTATAAAAAAAAGTAAACCAATTGAATTTCATAATATTATTTGTAATATTCAAAATGATAATCTTTTGTTTTTAGATAAAATAGAAATTACTATGATAGTTGTTGACTTTATACAGTACTAAGGCATATGTCTTACTCTTCATTCAAAGAACGCAAAAGTGTAAAGTATGTCATTGACGTCTTGATAACCTTTGAAAAAAAATTAAATTTCATTATTCACAACAATTCATAGAAATATTTAGTAAATTTAATATCACTAAGTGAATGATTATTGTTAATCACAGTTGAGTTAATTTTTTTGGTCGTACGTATGACGTGTATGAGCATGAAGAGAAAATTATTAGATGATCGAATGACGTCATTACTGAATGATGATAAAAAGTAATTTTTGATAAATTTAATCATACACTGCCGAAGAATTGCACAGACATAACGAAAATTTTTCCAGCAGTAATTTTAGTTACTACTCGGCTTCTGATGGTCATGAGATTCAAAAGTTTCTGTGATCTAAGAGATATGTCACACCAATTCATCATTTGTCTGAAATATTTATTTCAAAATATTACGGCCAATAAATATTTATTCGTTAATAATTAAATTGTAATAAATATTTACATCGAAATGTCTACTTTACTGCTGTAATCTACTAACTGTTGACCAATAATATTTTCAACAAATATGTGAATTACTTGGCCAACCATAAACGGACCATATCGAATAATTTCAGTTAAATTATGTAAGTTAGTCAGTATCTAATAAATTAATACATTAATTATTGATTACATAAAATAAATAGAAAAATATTACCTGAATTCCAGACAACGTTAACATTAATGTATTTAAACACACAGTTATAAAAATTACCCAACAAAAAGTATCTTCAAGAAGTACTGCAAAACTAATTAAATTTATTTCAATTATTTTCAAATAATCGAACAATGATGAAAATAGTAAAATTGAAGAATAATTACTCAATAGCCATGTTATGTTTTTTGATACAATCAGCAAGTATCCAAAAGGCTTCATCATTTTCTTTCGACACATAAGGATTATTCGCTTTTGGTATATTTTCCAATTTATCACTAATTATAAAAACGATCATTTATCATTTTTATTTTACTGTTTTTAATGATATCATGATGAAGTTAATTACCAAATTACAGCAAACATTCCACAAGTGTGTTGCATAAAAACCAAAAAAATTAAATCTGGACCAGCGATAGCAGTTATTGTAAAAGCAGAACCGATACTCATATGTAATTCAATCCAGAAGAAATATTTTTGTTCATCGATCCAGTAGTCAACGAAATACGGAAATGCCCATTCTGCTGGACCATCTGATAGACCCAGTAATACCATCAACTTATCTCGCATTGGAAGTAGTAGAAAAATCACCATAGAAACATAAAACATCACTAAAATAATTCAATAGATCAACAGATTAATGGTTATTATAAGTTATTATTTTCATTGAAATAGCAACTATTATTTACTGCAATAATAGAAACAATATTTTTTCCCATCTTCAGCATACTTTGTCATGATATCAGTCTCACGACCAGGTTTAAGATTTGACCATGTGTCTTGCATAAGATCTAATAACAGTTGAATCTAATGATAAATCAAACAATTATTTCAAATGATCGTGTATTAAACAATTGGTAAAAATCATTATTTACATTATTTTGATTAAATATACTGTTCAGCCATTTGGATATAGCTATAGTAGATGTCATACAACAAGTAAAATCAAGAATGATTACTTCTTCACTTGGGTCAACTATAATACGATGAACCTATTGGTTAATTTTTAAAATATTTTGGAAAAAATGAAAACAATAATTTCAAATTAAACAATCAGATGTAATGATTTATTTATTAACATTGTTTCCTATTTAGTAAACTTTTGATAGTTTTATGGTACTCAGTAGGCAACAATGTTACTAATCATAAAGTTGATTCTATTGAAAGGAATAGTATATTTTACACCAAGAGAAGAAAATGAACTATAAGTACTCGTAAGTCAACCTACCTTTCTTCGCTTAGTGTGTAATATACTATTCTTGATAGCTAGTATGAAAATCGAATTTTACTTCTGCTGATAGTGTGGTTATTAGAATTAATATCCATGTTGATATTATTAATTGTCGTAGATATTTTGGTTGATAAGGCCATACTCCCAAAATTTTAAGCAAAAATACATTAAGCTGATACCGAGGCAATGAATATAAATTCATATTGCTTTTCTTTGTTCACAGTTGAAAAGACGAACTGACTACTTTAATCCGCTAGATACATACGTTATCAATCTTCTGAAAATCTTGATAATAAAATGAATGACGTGAAAATTGCTTCTTTTTAATGTCTCGAGTTATTAAATATTTATAATTCTATGTTTTCTATTGTACTCTTATAAATTTCATTAAATATTGACAGTTCTTAGGGTCGATGTAGAACCTTAAGTGCTTTTCAACTCACATGGTTTTTTGCAAATAATTATTTACGGAGAAAAGGAAAATACTGTGTTGCATTATAGTAATAACATGGTAACAGAAATTGATTAATTATTATGCTGGATTTGCAATTATTTTGCAAGTTAGTTCGGATATTTCTAACATAAAAGTGAGTTTAATTAATTTAAAAAAAAAGTGATAAAAATTAAAAAATTACAATTTTAAGATAAATCATTTTTGCAACATAAGTAAAATTATTTTAATTTTTTAAATTCTTTCTACAAGCATAAAAAAATAATTTCTATCATAATTCATGAAACAAAGATTTCAGCTTCTTGTCTAGAGAGTTGGATAATATTTTTATTCGTCATAATATCCATTTTCTTTTACTGATCGTAAAAGCGTAAAATAAGACATTGATGTTTTTACAACCTATAAAAAATTGAAATTATTATTATTAGTTTTAAACAAACTTGTTATAGAAATAGAAATTGATCATACAACCCCGAAAAATTCAATGGATAAAATAAAAATTCTTCCTGCTGATATTTTGGTCAATACTCTACTTCTCATAGTCATCAGGTTTAATAATTTTTGTGATCTAAGAGATATAGCGTACCATTTCATCATTATTCTAAAATTAATACTATTTATTTAATACAAAAACATAAAAATAATTCATTAAATGCTCTCAAAGATTTACATTGAATTATCTACTTGACCACTATGATCCATCAATCGTTGAGAGATAATACTTTCAACAAGAATATGGATCATTTGACCAACAGCAAATGGTCCATACCGAAATAATTCATCTACATCATCCAAGTGAGTCACAAGCTAATGAGATAATTTACAAATCAATTTATTGATAAAAAAAATTGAAACAGAAGTGAATACTAGTTACCTGAATTCCTGAAAAGGTCATGATCAGGGTATTCATGCCAACACTAAAGAAAAATGACCAACAAAATGTGTCATCCACAAGAGCAGCAAACCTGATGAACAAAGTCTAATAAATTATCAAGATTTTTTAAATGTTATAAATATTTATGACAGGCGAATTAATTTTTCATTAAATATTACCACCGAAAAAAAGAAATAATAAATAAACTTATTTGATTATTGGCAATAAATCAAAAACTTAATGTGCATTAAGGGCAAACAGATACTCACTCAATTGCTTTATTGTGTTGTCTAATACAATCAGAAATAATAAAAAATGATTGATCTTTCGATTTTTCAATGTATAGATTAGATCTTGACATTCCTCTAATTGGAATATTTTCCAATTGATCACTTTAAAAAATTCGGACTTTATCAGATATTTTTATCATATAAAACATTGAAATGGCTAAGAATAATTACCATACTACAGCGAATAATCCACAAACATGTTGCACAAACATAAAGAACAGAACATCTGGACCAACTACAGCAGTTATAACAAAAACTGTCCCCAAGTAGACGTGAGCCGCAATGTAGAAAAAGTACTGATCAGTGTCCACCCAGTAATTGGTAGGAAATGGTAGCTGATAATCTGCATCAGCATTTGATAAACCTAGCCAAACCAACACTTTTGGTCGCATTGGAAGAAGAAGAAAAACGACCATAGAATTATAAATCAACCCTGAAAGCCAATGATTTGGACTGTAGATTTTTTGGTACGAGAACTTCAGCAACCAATTGAATTGATTACTATTTACCACAATAAAGCATTGTATACTTGTAGCCATCATTAGCATATTTTAGCATAATGTCATAACCAGGTCCAGGCTTTAATCTTGTCCACTCATCTTGCATCAATATCAATAATTGACGTACCTAATCAAACATTGTTCATTGTATTTGCAAAAGATTTAGTGTATTTCATCATCTATGGACAGATATATTTACCTTGTGAACATTGAAAAAGCAATTTAACATTTTTGCGGTTGATATACTAACGCAGATTAATGGTGGAGTATTGGATATTATGACTTCCTCAGTAGGTTCGGCTATACACGCATGAACCTAATGATCAATTTGTGTTCACATGATATTTATTTTAATTTTCGAAGTTATTATTTAAAAAAAAATCATTAACTTTATGATAATTTTTTTAAATTCAAATTTACTTGCGGTATAACTAAGCTTAAAATGATAACACTCCATAGTATTATTAGAAAAATACTCTCAACTTTGGACTGATAAGGCCAATGCCCTAGGATTCGTATTAAAAATACGCATATTCGATATCGTGGTAGAGAAAATAATTCCATTTTATTTTTCATATTACTATCACTTGTAATCATAGTGAGAACATCAACTGAACGTCTTGATTGTTAAGTTTTACTTATTATCTATTATTATGAACCTATTCTCAGCAGACAACGAAAAAGTAATTTTCAATGACGTGACAATTATTTCTGCTGATGAAATAATGATAGAAAATGTCGTAAATTATGGTATGGTAATACCTGATACAAAGAATAGGATGTTACTTATATCCTACTTGTGTGCTTTGCCGACATTTATTGCATTAATTATTAAAATTGCTGTTCCCTTACGCATATGCTTTGCTTTATATCTTTTGTATTGATTTAATTATTTGGAAGAACATTTAAGAAGGGTTGGTTGTTAATGTAATTTTCCTCACGTGATAGAAAATAAATGATTCTTATTCTATACTTGAACAAAATGTATACTGTACAACTGATTATTGAATTGAAGCTGTTATTTTTTTGTAGAGTACAAGATGGATGACTACAAATCTTTCATGGGGTTAAAGATAAATAAAAGGCTCTATAATGTGCAGAAAAAAATTTTTTAGACCAAATGGTGCATTTTATAGAAACTATTTCTACCTCATCGACTGTGTCAATGATAGATAAACTCAGTGAAAGGAGAAAACGTTTTTGTGAAGATGGAAAAAATGAAACTGGAAAGATTTCTCATCAGAACATTCTTTTGCGTTGGATGCATCTCGTAGTCATTGGCAAGTGAGTATGATGCTGTAAACATTAAAATAGAACTATTTATCAGTATAAATCCCATTAAAATATTTTATTTTTGTTTTGATATGTAAAAGAATAATTTTCAACTTACCATAATCTCTTATCACTAGAATTCACAAGATGTAGAGAACCTATTCAATAAACAATTATATTTGCTCAACTAAATTTATTTCAACGAACAGTACAAAAAATCTTAACTACCTTGATGGTTTGAGAGATTTAAATGATATGAATTTATGAATTCCTAAACGTATTTATACTATACTATGATGATTCAAACAATTTTTCTCTATAAATATGATCATTATTCTATCAAACCTCTTCTTCCTGCATCGAACGTAAGAGTGTAAAGTATGTCATTGATGTCTTGACAACCTTGAAAAAAAATTTAATCGAATTCAATATTGCCAAATTAAACTGTTGCTTAATTTAATGTGTTTATATAATCATACAGTGCCGAAAAATTCCAATGATAAGACGAAAATTTTTCCAGCAGTAATTTTATTGAGTACTCGACTTCTTATGGTCATAAGATTCAGAAGTTTCTGTGATCTAAGAGATATGGCGTACCATCTCATCATGGTTCTGAAATAAATATTATCAATGATAGACTTTACTATTCTAAGAAATGATTTGAGTTAAATGATACAATATTTAAAATACACAGCTATTTTCTGTGATAATTATTTACATGGCATAATCTACGTGACTACTGTGCTCCATTAATTGTTGTGCAACGATACTTTCAACGAAAATATGCATCAATTGACTACCAGCAAACGGAATGTATCGGAATAATTCATCCACATCATCAAGATGAGTCATCATCTAATGACAAAATTAGTTTTATCATTAAATAAATATGTATTTTCAATAGCATTGAGTATATTAGCATAGAAACATTACCTGAACTCCCGAAAAAGTTAAGACCAATGTATTAACGCAGACTACATACAAAAATAACCAGCTGTATGTTTTTTCAAGACGAACGGAAAAACTGATAAACGAAAGATAATTGAGATACGGACTGAATATGGATAGTAATCAATTAGAAAATATTAAAAAAAAACATTATCTTACTCGATTGCTCTATTATGTTGCCTAATACAATCAGAAATAATTAAGAATGCTTCATCGTCTCTTTTATCAACATAAAGATCGACGTCTGACAATGGCTTGGTTGGTACATTCTCCAGCCGATAGCTAAGTTTGATACAATTACAAAGTCATTATTAGAATAAATGATAATTTATGTTCATTGATAATAGTTATATTGCACTACCTTACTTCAGCAAACATTCCACATACATGTTGGACAAAAACCATGTATAAAACATCGGGACCAGCGATAGCAGTTATCACAAATGTTGTGCCAAAATATACATGCATTACAATAAAAATGAAATATTTATCATCATTAATCCAATAATCTGTAGGAAACGGTAATAAAAATTCGGCCTCAACATCTGATAGACCTAACCAGACCATTAATTTCGGCCGCATTGGAAGAAGAAGAAATACAACCATGGAATTGTACATCAAAACTAAAATATTTAAATTGAATCAATTCGGTGATTCTCTTGAAATTTTCGGTATTTAATAAACTGTTAAATATTTAGAGAATTTATATTTACAGCAATAAAATACTGTGTATTTATATCCATCATTAGCATATTTTTGCATGATGTCAAAACTGGGTCCAGGTTTCATTTTCGCCCATTCATCGTTCATCAGCATTAATAATTGCCGAATCTAATGACAAAAATTGGATTTATTTTCTGCAACGATTGTTACATGACGAGTAATTATTTTATTCATATTATTACTTTATTCCCATTAAAAATGCTGTTGATCATTTTTGCCATACTCAAACTGACTGTAATAAGAGGTGGAATATTTGACATTAAAATCTCTTCAGTCGGTTCAATCACACACCGGTGAATCTAGTAATAAATTCGAAAAACACAATGACGATTCGGTTACTTCAGGTTTCAATAATACATTGAAATCTTCTTTTTTTTAAAAAATATAACATTACTTGTGGTACTAGTAGACTTGAAATTATAGTACTCCATAATAATGTTACTAGAAATCGTTCAATTTTTGGTTGGAATGGCCACTGTCCTAAAACCCGTAATAAAATAATATTAACCCGATACCGTGGATTAGAAAATAACTCCATTTTATTATTGACTCTTGAAATGACTAACGTTTGTAATAATAGTAAAGACATCAACTGACCTGCTTGATTGTTATATTTTACAGATTCATGGTGATTATAAATCTATTTTCAACTGACGGTGATAACATAATTTTCAATGACGGGAAGATTATTTCTTCTGATGAAATAATGACGAAAATTGGTGTAAATTATGATATGAATACATGATTCAAAGAATATAATGTTACTTATATCCTATTTTTACACTTCTCCTTCATTTATTGTATTAACTATTAAAATTGCTCTTACATTACGTATATGCTTTGCTTTATATCTTTTCTATTGATCCAATTATTTGGAAGAGCATTTAAGAAGGGTTAGTTGTTAATGTAATTTTCCTTGAGTGGTAAAAAATAAATGATTTACTTTAGACTTGAACAAAATGTATACTATGCAACTGATTATTGAATTAAAACTGTTATTTATTTTCAGATTACGAATAGAGTAAATTAGGTGTTCTAGTGAAACTGATGACGACTGAGAGGTTTTATAACTTGAAAAATGGTGCATTTTATGAAAATTATTTCTATCTTGACAATCGTATAAGGAATGTATCAACTTAGCAGAAAAAGGAAATTTCTTTTCTATCTTGAAGTAGAGGAAACTAGAAAGAATTGACTCGTCTTCATCTACTGACAATGAATTTAGTGGCATTGGATATATCCTATAATATTTGGGTAAGTGCATAAACGCTGCAAATATTAAAATTGACTCATCCATTAATTTCAATCTTAGTTGATCTTTGGGTCTAATTCTTATGTATGAAATAATAATTAAAAATTTATCAAAACATTTGTGTCAATAATTGACAAGTCATCGAAATTATTTTTCAAAATTTTGCTTAAAGTAAGAAGTGTGTCTAATAAATTGTTTATTTTACTTAACTAGATTCATTTAAATAAAAGATACAAAAATTTGTGTCAAATAAATAATACTATTCTATGATAATATGATAGACTACTTTTGATTAAAAAAAACAATAATACTATAAAGCTTTGTCTTTTTACGTGGAAAGTAGGAGAGTGAAGTATGTCTTGACAACTTTAAAAAACATTAAATTGAATTCAATATTGCCAGATTAAATTATTGCTTAATTTTGTTATGTCTTAATATAATTAGATGATACCCAAAAATTCCAGTATATAGTAAAAAATTTTTACCAGTACTTTTATTAAGCATTTGACTTCTTTTGTTCATAAGATTTAGAAATTTTTGTAATCTGAGAAATATGGTGTACTATCTCATCATAACTTTGAAATAACTATAATTGAGAATGTATAGTAAAAAATTATGTATTAAAAGACCAGATAGTCCGGAAATAAGGACTTCAGAATGTCAAGGCGATTCAGATAAATGGTTAAAGAAAAATTAAAAAAAAGAGTATTAGACAATTCGAACATAGATCTTACTCAATTGTTCTGTTATATTTTTTAATTATTACAATTAGAATTAAATTAACGTTTACATTAACTCGTTATTTGGAATGAGTAGATAAATTAAAATTTTTTTATTTTGCCACAATAGTTCCAACCATAATAATTAATCGACCTGTCATGTTGCAAATATGGAGTGTCAATCATTGAATTCATTTACTTTATGTTCATGAGTCTTTACTATTAACGATGGAATGGAAATTGGCAACTTTTGTATATTAAATGTCATGTAGAATGATATGGGGGGTGCTATTCAAAGTATAAAATTCTACCTACGTTCATTGTTCTGTTTGTGGCTGCAATAATTTTCATTGCATATTAATATTGACATTAACAAAGTATAAGCTCGTATACCTTTATTATTAATTCAATTGTTTTGAAAAGCATTCAAGGGGGTTCAATTTGAATATGTTATGGTTCGGCACATTGTACTCTGAATGTTGACAATTGATGAACTTATAATTAAACATTCATAACTATTACTATATTTGCTTGCAGATTTTGAATATAAAAATTTATATGGAAGGAAAATACTAAAAAACAATAATTATTCAGTGGAGTGATCGGAAGAGATTTATTTGACAGCATCAAATATATTTACAAAAATTTGATCTTAATACTCTAAAACAAGGAAGCAATCAATGGATTTTTGACTTGTTGATAGTACAGTACTTGTTTTTACGGAGAGCTCCGGTTTCAAACTCTACAGGTAAGTATGTTTTACGCAGTCAACTACAATCGTTTTCTTTTCATCTTCAGTATTGACTATAAATAATTTATCACTCATTCATTTAATTATCTTAAATGAATTTTTATTGTATAAATAACTCCATAAAGTCTAGTAAAATTTATTTTACCTGTCATAAAATTTTTAGTTATGAAGGTAATTAAAAATTGAATCAAATAAGAATTTTTATTAATTACAAAAGAGTCAATACTTGCTAGCAAAAATTAGCTGATTGTTGCTCATTATGATGCTTCAATGAGAATCGATGATTGTAGAAACGATAGCAACCACATCTTAAATTTTTTCTTCAGAAACTACTACACGAACACACAAAAATATATCACCAATTCTCATATTTTTAATTAACCATTTTAAAAATTTTCTTCTCAAAAACTGTTGACTAAAAAACTAAAAAACTTAGACAAGTTTCACTCACGGAAGTCAATGTCAGACTGAAGGAAATTGATTTTTATTGTCGGTAACTATTGTAGAAAAGCTATATTGACCTTATACCGTGTAAAATTACTTGTCCAGAATTCTCAATAGAAACTAGTTTATGAAAAAAAGAAATAAATTTCAATCGATAAAAATATTTGATAAAGATTTTATAGAAAAATGCTGAGTTGAGATTCATGATTTTATGAAATACCAAATTTAGCATCATTCTTGCTGATAAAGAAATTCAAATTCTTACGAATTTTTTTTTCTCATATTTAAAAAAAAAAATCCGAACAATAACTTCATTTTGAATTGAGCTGGAAGCTGAATTCAATAGCAAAAATAATTTTAGAAAATTTTATCTTTCAATAGACAATTTTCTTTCTAATAAAAACAGTTTTAAATTTTATTTCATAATGAAAAGATTATCTGATGTTTTTTTGGGATATGTTCATTCAACAAAATATTAACAAAACGGCTTAGATAACTGTTTAATTTATTTTATTACAAATTAGTGAGATACAATATCCATTGTCATAAAAATAAATTTTTCAAAACTAACTCCAGAATCAATATTATCTCGACATTGTATTTTTAACGACATAAAATTTCTGATTTATTGGAATTTAATACTGATATAATGTAGACAAACTGTGAGAGTACCAATTTTTTTTTTCATTTTGTTTATTTAAACTTATTAATATTTTTTCACATAGCTTCAATGTAAAAAAGAATACCAAATACTAAGCTCGATAATAGCATAATACTTGATAAAAAAATTGCTACAAATATACCTTTTTTCTTCTTCGTTGATCTTGATGATAATATAAAATCTTTATGTACCTGGAAATTTTTTTATTCATATAATATTAATTATTAACACTTGATTAACATAAATAAAAAGTATATACCATAATTTCTAATGACTGTGTTTTCTTTACTAGTTCATCGAGCTTCTGGCCTCGATCGATGAGCTTCTGCACTGAATCAAGCAAAATCTTACGTACTTCAGCAAGTTCACCGTGGATTATCGGCAAAGAACTCGTATCTTGATACTGCTGGGATGTCTAAGATATTTATAAAATGCATAAGACAAAAAAAAGCTTTTTGAGTACACTTTTTTGAAGTAGACAATTAAAAATAATCAAAATCATATTATATTATTAAATAAGTTCGTATTATACCTAATGTATTGGGTGATTTATTGAGGAAAAAAGTTATTAATAAATAAATAAAATATATATAGATATATACAATAATAATTGATGTATTTTAACTTACACATATTTTTTTAAGAGGTGTGGAAACGTTAGTAGTAAAATAATTATCTAAATCTTGAGTAAGATCTGCAATAAGTGGTAACTCTCGATAGACATTCCTAACTCGATCCAAAAATTTTTGAGCAAAAATTGAAACTTTTTTTGCTTCTGTCGGAGAATAATGAATTGATGTCAAACAAGCATAATACAGAAGTTCTCCAATCAGAATATGGACAATGTACCTACTATGTAAATAAGTTATTTACTGAAATAATAAAAGAAATATGAATTCATACTTATCAAAGATAACGCTGATTTTTTCATCTTCAACAGTTGATAATTTTTTAATAGCATCAAGTAAAATGCGCCTATGTTCAGAATTATTTGTAGGTGAATAAGATGCAACTATTGTATAATTTGATTTGTTCCAATTAACTACTACAGTACAAAGGACGTGCGATTGCATTATTGAAATGACAACTAATTAAATTGAGTAACTGGAAGAAAAATTATTTTGTACAACTAATAACAGACTGAAGTCGAATGATGATTAAAATTAGCATAATCAGTACTGAAAAAAATGATATATGAATGTATAAGTTAACGTTATTGGAGAAATATTGATAAAAATAATGTTGGTTGTCGAAACCAAGCTTCTGTTGGTTGCATGATCATTCAATCAAATTGGCAATCCTCGTGTGTAGATATGATAATTTTCATAATAAAAAACAACATATTTGCATTATTAAATTTTCACAAATCTTATCTCTTACTAGCATAACTTTTTACTAATGTTTAATTATAAAAATTGTATCTTCCCAATTTTTTAATTGAAGTATGATAACAAAAAATAAACTAAAGATATAAAGAAGAGTATAGAGTGGACATAAGAATGAGCAAAATGGTGGGAGATATCAGATAAAAGTATAGTAGCATAAGAAAGTTCATTGATAGACAGCAGTCAGCAGTGATCAGTTAAATGTATGAGTTCATTGTATAATTTTATATTTATGTCTAGTAGCTAGTCATTGAAAGTTAAATAATTCTATAAATAAATTTATCTAAACATTGAATTTTAAAGGAGTGCATAAAATAAAAGATTTTAAGTGGATTTTTCGTTGTGTTTCAGACAAAATGATGCGGACGTATAAGTTGACCTACTTTAATGTCATGGGTCTGGGAGAACCCATACGATTCTTGCTGAGTTACGGTGGATATAAATTTGAAGATATTCGAATTGCACGTGAAGAGTGGCCGAAAATGAAAGCAAGTATGTCATTTTAAATGCTTATAATTTTAATTGAAATAATTATGATTTCTCTTGAATTGTTTTATAAGTTACTTTTTAAAAGAAATAACATTTTGGTTCATAATATTCATAAAATCTTTTCAGGCACACCTTTTGGACAACTACCAGTTTTAGAAATCGATGGAAAGCCATATGGCCAAACACTACCTATCTGCCGTTTTCTGGCAAAAGAATTAGATTTAAATGGTAAAACGGACGTTGATGATTTAGAAATTGGTTGTGTTGCTCATGCTCTTCATGATCTAAGAAAACGTACGTATCTGGTTATTATTATCAAATTGATCTATTGTATAATACATCATATTAACGAGAAGAAAGTTATTCTAATAATTTAAATATCGTTCCAGAGGTTGCTTTATTCTATTTAGAGACTGATTCGGCGATAAAGGCCACTAAAAAAGCAGAACTTATTAAGAATACATTGCCCTTCTATTTGGAAAAGTTTGAAAATATTGCAGCAAAAAATAAAGGCTATTTCCATGATGGCAAAGTAAGTTCTAATATTATAAATAATTAAAAAAATTAGTATTTGAAATTAAAAGAAATAACTTCATTTATTATTACTACTTTTTCAGCTGAGTTATGCTGATCTCTTCTTTGTTGCAATCCATGATTCCATTCAGAATGTTTGCGAAGTGAATATTACAGAAAACAGACCCAATCTTCAGAGTATTAGAGAGAAAGTATTATCTATTCCTCAAATTAAAGTATGGGTTGATAAACGACCTAAATTAGAATTTTAAGTATTGAGATATCATCAGATTGTTTATGACTTAACATTTATAACATAAGTTTTTTTAATACATTCCAACTGAAATATCTTATAATAAAAATACTTTTAAAAAACTATTCATTGTTTTTAAGACGACTCTTTCATTTTCAGAATTACTTTTGAAAAATATAACATCTACATTCAAAAAATTATCATCATTTGTCTAACTTTTTTTATCATTCATTATTGTTCTTTTTTGTATGTATTGAAAGTAATAAAAATCACGTTTTTTGAGTAAATTTTTTTATATTAGAATTACAATTGTAATTTACAGACATTGCCATTATTTTACATTTTCAGCTCTCCAGAAGCAATAAGCATGGTAAAATCATCCGCTGCAATACATATTGTCAACAGTCAATCTTCTTTAGAAATTTCATATTGTAATATGTATCCGTTAGTTAACTTATTCGTTATTCGAAAAACTTACGATTTTTTTAATTATTACCTGATAATTTATTAAAAAAAAAACAGAATCTGAATTATAGCTTCAATTCTTTTCGCCACACTGTGAATACTATGGTAATACATACTTCAATCTAAATATTTAAGTTATGCATAAAACCGTCGAAAAAAATGTAATTTATTAACAATGTTTTTTATAATTATATAAACTATTTTACTTTAATAATAAATAAATAAATAAAACACTGATTTTAACATTGTTAATGTAAGATCATTAAAAGATTGATCTTCCTTTTAGTGTAGAACTTCTATTTATTTTAAGGTATCCCTCAGGACACAATCTACTTGCAGGAATAGAGATAAATGGAAATAGAGTTTTTTTGTGAGAATGTAATAGAGATAATTAAAAATAGAAATATTTAAGAACAAAAATATTCAAGAATATTGATATTTAAAAATAGAGATGTACATGAATTGTAATATTGAAGAAGAGATTAGAGAAATTTGAGAATAAAAATATATTAGAAATAAACACGTATTATAAATAAAAATATTTAAACATAGATATATGGAACAATAAGGATTATTAAGAATAGGGATATTTTGAAATAGATATTTTGTTGTGCCACTTTTTTGTGGAATTCGAATAGCGCGTACTCTTTCGATTAAATTGATAACATTGACTCCAATGATAACTGATTTGATACAATAGATAATAAAACAGAAGTTCTTTATTATCAATAAACGAATATGACAGGTGGCGCAAACTATTCAACGCAAAGCCAATATGTAAACAGCCAAGTAGCGCCGCGAATGCTGAAAAAGGTCGAAGCATGACCTCGAATGATTGTTGCGCAATGGAGGATGCGCGCAATGAGTGGCGGATCGTCAGTGATCACAGTACGGAGCAGAACAGACATCTTGTAGTAGAATTTAGCGGCGTGGTCGACCGTGGGTGTCGAGTCGCGGTGCGTCGTGGTGGTTACGGTGGTGTCGGTCGTGAGAGCACCGTGTGCCCGTCGTGTCCGATACCCGTGTCTGTGCGTTTGGTTGGCTTTAAAAGCCCTCCTTCGTGTAATCAAAAGTGTGTTTTCAACAAGCTAAGCTCAGTCACCAGCATATTTTGTGAAGCGTGCGGTGCAATAATCAGTCATAGCGCACAACACACGACTGAATAGTGAGTACAGTAGTCAGCGCAGCTTAGAAATAAGCTGTTTGAATACAAACTCAACAATTAAACGATTATAGAACAATAATTAAACTAGCATCGGGTCAATCTTTAACGTTGTATCGTTGACGTACACCGTCGAGTGTCGCTAGCTCGTGTGTATACAGACGAAGCCCTTGAGCGCAAACTAATTGTGGTGACGAGAGGTCAACGGTGAAAGAGGAGAGAAGGAGGAGAGGATAAAATTTAATAAAAATAGTGTTTGAGCCTCTCTCATGTTTCATCACGAGCGATAATATTTAGCGCAGCCTGCAGCTGCCACCATCATCGCTTGTGGGTTACTCGCGCCATAACGTGACGGGTCTAGACGGTCAAGATACTTATCCTCCCATTTCCCCCCTGGTGCTGTTCCCCAGAATCCCCACAGCCATCAGTCCTCCCATTCCTATCCTTAGCTCACACACTCAATCCCTCTGCTATACCCTGAGTGGTGTAGCTTCGCCGTCGTGTGAAAGTCAGTGACAGCAGTGACAGCAGTGAGATAAGGTGTGCGGCTGGTGCCAGCCGCCTAACCAAACTACCACCGGACATCATCCAGTATGACCTCCAATAACTCACAGAAGGTCTCCACCACCGAACGAGTCATCAAAAGTAAGGGAATCCGCTAAGAAGATTTATGTATTCATTTCCTCTATTTTTGGAGTCATCGTTTCTTCTTCATCTCTTTTTTATTCTAATTTATTCCCTTATCTGCTTTTTTATCTGTTCCTTCTTCCACATCGTTCCTTTTTGTATATATATTACTATTTCTTTAGAAGCTGCTCGGTCGGTACTCCAGTGTTCCGTGTGTCTATTTTGTGAAAGCTCACACCTACTAGACCACTAGAGCTTTTTCTGTCATATTGTCCGGCATTAAAAAATATCTTTGTTTCTATAATGTTGCTGCAAGTGGTTTGGTCGTCTCGTTCAACAAGAACTGCCGTATGAAAACAAGGCCGACCGGCGTCAAGCTGAGATTGATTTTCTCCGCGGGGTCGCGGCGCCATTGCTATCGACCACCAGCGGTCCTCGAGTCACGCTTTTCCGTTCTCCGAGACTGTCGTCTTGTGTCTAGTTCTGCTCCCTTTAATTTTCCATACTACAATATTCTACATCATTTTCATTTCATCACTTCTCTTATTTTCCTTATTTTTTTTCTTTCTTGTTTGTCCTTCCTTCATTCTCACTTGGCTTCATGAAAATATTAAATAACAACTCCTACTATTTGACCTACAAATATATGTGACTTCTTCAACTTTAATTCATCAGACACTTCTCCAGTTGATTGATATTCAGGCATTATTAAATAAGTGTTACGGAATCTTATTTTATTTTTTACATAAATTGTTTATATTTATGCATTGCGAAATGTCTAAAAATTACAGACAACAAGGTTTGTTTGACATTCAACGATAAAAAAATAACATTTCGACAGTTTTAATTCTCTCTGCTGTCGACTTGAGTAAAAGTAAGCTGCTCAAGCCTCTATTCCGGGACAACGGAAACGCCACGTGGGTGTAATATGATTTGCTGTTGCTACAAATACTAAAAATTTATCCCTTGTCATTTTAAACAATTTTGAAGTTCCGTTAAATTATCTTGAAAATTAAATCAATTGTACATACAATCCAATATAATAGAAATATTCTCTTCATATTTTTATCATTCATTTTATTTTCTGAATATTTTCAATTTATTCAAATTTCTCATCTTCCAATGGAATGTTATTTGTTGAAAATTTATTAAAATAGTTTTCTCGGATTATATTGATGCAATGTGGTAATTAGTGATTGTTTTTTTTTAAAAACAGCTCTCTAACAACATTACTATATCATAAACATAACAAGTATAATATTAATAATTTATGTCACCAGTTTATGTCGTCATTGATAAATAAATACTAGTAACTATTTACGTAGTCAAATTAATGTGACAACTGTAATAATAGAAGAACTTGAGGTTAAGTCGTGGATTATGACATCTGACTAATCAAAAAACTCTTTAACACGTGCTCATGTCTATTCGATGCATCGAATTTACAAGATATAATCAGTCAATTAAAATATTAATAAGACTCTTGAATAAGTGTTTTGAGTTGCAAATTCATTGTTGATAATGGATCTACTATTTTGAAGCTAATATTCAATTATTGTTTATGTTTGATGCTCATTAGCTAAGACAAACAATGAAGAACATCTATTTTCATCATTATTTCATTTATTTTTAGCAGAGATCACATTAATCATTTTTTGACAATGAGAGACCTGGAAACACATTTCCACTATGAAGAAATTGTAGTTATTTCAACTTGTTTTTAATTCGTTATTTAATTAATGAATAGTAAAAAAAAAATAATAAATATCAACCATTACCCCGAGAGTGACATGAAGTGATGAATTACTTTAAAAACAATTGTTTCCAAAATAGCTATTGCGAATTACTGGATAAAATTATTGATAATAGAATTAAATGAAATTTTTTTTTAGCTTTAAATTGAATTATTATTAAAACTACTTTCATTATTAGAATAATTATTGATATATTTTCAGAATTGATTCTTAAAACAGCTTGAAACTATTAAAACCTTGCACTCTTCAATAAATTGCATGTTAGTAATTTGAAAATTTGCCAACAAAATTTAATAGAATTAATTAATACCAAGTGATTAATTAAAACACACCTCTGCCATATTTTCCAAAAAATCATGAAATTCATAACTGAAATTTAGCCAACATTTTGAGTAATAACTTGAATTTTGTGGAGCAATTTTACTCCTTACCACAGACAAATGAATTATAAATATTAATTAAATACACATTTTGAATAACAAAAAATAGTAAGCAGTTTAACTTGTTTTTATAATTTTTTCTTTCACAATTAAAACTCATATTTACTATGCTCTTTGTCTTAGCTTATTGCGAGAAAGAGATTAGAGCAAAAAGTTTTAAATACACGAGTACGTTGATAAATCTCAATGAATCAAAATTTTATCACAATAAATATAATAGCTGATTCGGTTTTCTTTCAACAACACCTATAAAAATAAAATTAAAAATGCTCATATTTATAGTCAGCCTTTTGATTTACTGTAGTGCAATAAATGACTGCAGTATTCCAGTGCAGCTGGTCGCAGCTGGGCAATCTTTTATAATTCAACCGCAGTAACGAAAGTACCACTTCTTTTAAAGAAGAATAGTATATGCTCCAGTTCCAATACATTATTTATCACCCTTTAATTCTCAATGTTTGTTCTTCAACTTTACAACTTCTTGAAATTCCATATCTTAGTTGTTAATTACATGAATTATTATTCAAACAAATTTTAAAATAAACTTGAAAAGTGTAAAATTTTGAGTAAATAATCAAGATGGTCGTGGTGGTTGACATTAATGGGTGTAGCTAAAGCTGCCAAATGACAAACTGGTGGCACTCCAAGGAGATAGAGAAATTTAGAAATACATGCTACCATTTAAACTAGA